TGTGTCATCTGCATACTAACTGAGGGTGCACTGTGTCCCATCATCCAGGTCATTAATGAAAACATTGAACTGTTACACCCCGGTAGACCCATGAGGTAAACCACCTGTGGCTGGCTTCCTTGCCACTCACCACAACCCATTAGGCTCAATAGTTTGTTCAGTTTTCAGTCTACATAATTTTCCATTTCTCTAGCTTGTACTTAATCAATTTGTTTATGGGGGTATAAGAGGACACAATGTCAAAAGCCTCGCTAAATAAGTTAAACAACTTCCATCATCTCAGCCAGTCATCATGTTGTAGAAGGCTGTAAAGTTGGCTGATCAGGCATGATTTCCCCTTCTTAAATCCAGGCTGACTACTCCCAGGCATTTTTTTTGTCCTCCATGTGTTTGTAAATGGTTTCTAGGAGGATTTGCTTCAGCTTCAAGGCAGTCCCAAATATCATGTGGACTTCATTTTATTAAGATAGAAGAAAAAGGTAAAGCCAAATGCAGGGGCTAGAGGGAGAGGGTTAGTACTATCCTTGTGCTTGAGAAGTGTTTTAAGGAGTGCCCTTCAATGGGTCTTGCAGTTAGACCAGCTCTGGTACTGCTGGCCAGCAGCGAGCAGCTGGTGTTGCAGAGGTAGTAAGTATGAGGACAGAAGTGTTCAGGCACGAGAATTTTCCTCCCTGCTTGAGGATTCCCAGCACTGGAAAGTCACTGGGATCTCCTGTAGGATGAACTCAGAAGATGAGTCTTGAAGTTTTATATTTAAATGGTATTGGGTATGTGGATTTTGCTAGCACAGAAGAGGTTGAGCTAAATTGCTTCTAAGTATAGGGCTCCGTTGTGTTCTTCTGTAGTTAGCGCTGTTCGTAAAGGAATAGCATGTTCATTACACTGAGCTTACTGTGACTGAATAAAAGATTTAGCATTGATTTTAACTTGTTTATTAGTACAAAATGTCTACATCTGAGCATTTAGCAATAATTCACTATCATTCTGAAGTCTTTAATATTTAAAGAAAATCTATGGTGCAGCTCTTCTGGTAGAAATAGAAGAAAAATCTTCTGCAGTTGGAAAGTTACAGACTGTGTAGGTGTTGAAATGCCTCCTGCTTCACATTCTTAATTGGCAGCAAGCCAGATACTAAGAATTTCTGGTTTAAAGGGAAATGCTTCCCTTTTCTTTACATTTTGATGAATAAAGGCAGCATTTTGTTTGCATTTTTTAGCAGTTAGGATTTCTTCCATCTTGATACAAAATGAATAAAGTTATCAGTTAAATAGCTCCTCCAAGTTACATTGAACTTTTGCATGATTACACAAAGATAGGTATACCTTTCAAGTTGTGTCATAAGAAGTTGTGGGCCTCATGCCCTCTGTGACCCTTTTCCACTCTGGGTGCTCTGGATTTCTCAGTTCTGCTTTAAAGCTTCATATCAATTAGCATATGATACTCAGAGAAATTTTCCATGAACATGAAAGACTGCAAAATTCATGGCTTTAAATTAGTTAATAAAATGACTTTGAATAATGCAAAAATATTGCAAGTTGTAAATATATCAGTTATTAATTATTAAGTTCATTTTCAGTAGTTGACAGAATACTGTCCTTTCACTGAGTTTAGATATTACTGGGAGAAGGTTTTTTATTGAGAGTGCTTATACGTGTTTAGCAATCAAGATTACAGGGATGCTGATATGAAAATCAGTCTGAAAGTCTAAACTCTTATCCATTCTTACTGGTTTTGAATGGCATTAAAATGTGCTTTGGTGTAGCTTTGCCCTGTCAAAACTTGTCAACATTTACAAAAAACAGTTAAATATATAGAGTGATGTATATAGTAACTAACCAGAAAATTGGTCCGTAATTCTTTTTAAGAAAATCACGTCAGCTTAATTTTACATAAGTAGGTAGTCTTAACAGAGGATTAAAACATGGAAAAAGTACTGAAGTGTTTTCTGTTGGAATACCCACTGTATTAAAAACTACAGTGTTGGATTAGCAATTTTGTATATTCCTAAAGTAAGATAAATACTGAGAGAAAACATAACCCATATTCAGAAATACAGGAAATGGTCATGGTTTTTATACTTGACTGTCAAGCCTTTTTCTCTTCCCCTTGAAATGATATATCTGAAATTTGTCTTGTTTTGAGCCAGATTTTTTAATTTATATTTTTGTTACTACACTCTGATACTGTGAATTGCAGTGTAATTTTTTTTCCGTCTATGTTGAACTCCATCTCCAGCTGTAATTTTTGTTTGCTCTTTATTGTTGTAAATGTATAGGCACAATAAAGTGTCTGCTCTAGGAATGATTTCCAGATTTTGCTTCGTGGGTCAGAATGTTGCAGCCTCGATGACAACAATGTGTGATAACCTCAGTGTTCACAACTTTCTGCTCACTTGCTACCCATCTTAGAATTTTGGATAAGTCTTCTATCTGCATTCTTATCTGTCTAATACTTAAGATGTATATGATCCAAAAGAAAGAAAAGGCAGAAATACTGGTTCCTTGCATTCATGGTGTGTAGCATTTTTATAGAACAGTTATTACCATTACTAAGTGTTGTAGTGGGTTTGACCCTAAGATTAGTTCAGTTGGTTCGACAAATGTGTTAATGATGCCAAGGTTCTGGGTTTGGTCCACGTATGGGCCATTCACTAAAGAACTGGACTTCATGATCCGTGTGGATCCCTTCCAACTCAGAATATTCTGTTGATTCTTGATTGCTCTGGGAAGTAGGAATGTTTTATTTTGTCCCAAATTAATTATGTTAGCTGCTGTAATCAGACGAGCTTTTGTAAAGATGTTAATTCGAGTTCAGTTTAGATGTAGGAAAAGGTTCTTCACTGGAACAAGCTCCTCAGGGTGGAGGAATGGATCATGGCGGTCACACAGGTAGTCATAGCACCTGTCAGAGTTTGAGGTTCTTGACAATGCGTTTAGTCATTTACTTTTAGGTGGTCCTGTGAGGTGCAGGGGCCGGATTTGATCCTTACAGGTCTTTTCCAACATGATATATTCTATGATTCTAATACATCACTATGTGAAAAATCAGTGGAACTACTTGCAGTGGTGAATCTGAGCATAAACATGAGCGCCTGTAGGACTAAGGCGTGTAATGTGTGTCTGTGAGTAGGAGCCAGCATTTACTTACAGCACAGCTATGCAGAGGAGAGCTAGTTTTTGTGTCACGTGATAAAGGGAAACAGGCACTGTCCATCTCATCTATTTAGGCTGAGATAAATTGCTTGCTGTTGAGTCTTATTTCTCTCCACTGATTATAAAGGATTAGAGACAGACATGCACAATCTAAGATGAAGTTAATTCCATCACGTATGCTTTAGTCACATACTTTGAGATTACAGACACTTTGTGTCATTCTGTACAAAAAATACCAAAAAAAAAAAAAAAAAAAGAAAAAGAAAAGACATATCTACTATAGCAAGATTGACTCTTTCTGGAGGGTAAAGGTTTTGTTGGGGAAGAGGTTTTCCTGTGTTAGTGCCTATATACAGAGTGATAGTTTGTAAGTGGTGAGTTAGGTAATTACACCTGTGTGCAGAATGGAAACCCAAAACATAAGTGAACTGGGGGAAGGTGTGACTTTCCACCTTGCCAAGAGGATTTAGATTCCTGAATTCCTGACATCAAACCTCTACCTAATCTTCCAGAATGTACTGCCTTCTAATGTGGAAAATTATCTTTGCAAGGGTAGTGAAGAATGCTTTCTTTCAAAAATTTTTACACTTAAATTGAAGTTTGATAGATACGATTAAGTTAATATTGATGATACCTAATTGCAGTTTGAAAATATGGAGTGCAAAGAAAAAAAAATCTTTCTAGTAATATATTACAATATTTTGTTTGGGGTATTTTAGTCTCTGTAGATTTTAACCAAAGATTTTACTTTTGTTTCTGGCTTATTATACAAACATATCCTTATTTTTAGAAGCATATGTGCATATATTTAACAAAATAGATCTAAATTGACCTGCTTAACTGTACCTGTAATTTCATTTGAGCTTCTGAAAGACATGAGTGTTGAGGACAATGTGGAGCATTAATGGAATGTGTAAAGATCTTTTCAGCTCTAAATGCTGCAGAAAGGCTTTACACCTTAACTGTTAATTCTCTAATGTACTTTAGAGACAGAACAAAACTGGAAGATAGTTGTGCAGCTCTCCTGTTCTGTGACCAATTTATGTATCTAGTCCTTTCCAGAGGTCATATGTTTCACTAAGGAAAAAAAAAAAAGGAAAAGGATGTGTTGATGTTTAGTTTTAATTTTAATTTTGTCATCCAGACCATTTCTGTTTCTGATTCTCTTCTAGAAGTTTATCCACTTGAGTTATCTTTGTTTTCATCTCATGCTTTTTCTTCATTGCTACCTACCACTTCCTTCCTATTCTGCTTTTTTTCTTTTCCTTTTTCAATTGTAGGATACCATTGAGAGAAACAGGATGGGGAGAAAGGTGGAAGAGCTGTAATCTAACCGAGTTTTTGCATCCTTTAATCATGATTGTCAGTATGCATCTGATTATATATCTGACTGTTTTCCCTACAAAAAGGAAAAAAATGTTAGATTTCTGTTAAAATGTTGGACATCATGTAGCTTTCATGTATATCTTCTATTTGTCCGTTTCCTATGGTTTATCTCTTGTATTGCTATAATACAAAAACTTCCATGAAACCACTGCCTTGAACATCCAGTTTGAAAAGATCTTTTGAAAGTTTAATGTTTTTCTCCAAATCTAAACTAAAAATTAAAACATTCCATGTAAGAAATTATATATAACAGCTTTTATGGTTGTTATTTTTTAATGCTGTCTTCTACAACATATTGCATTAAAAAAAAATTCCTCTCTTTACTTGAATGACAAAACTGAGTAGTGTTGGTTTGTTCTTGTTGTTTTTTTGTTTGTTTGTTGGTTTTTTTTTTTTAGATGAAAGCTGTGAGTTTGTAATCATGATACAGAATAATGTATCGTGTGTATTTGTTTTTTTAAGTTCTGGTCAGGATATCCAAGGAACAAGTGTGGTGGCAAATCTTCCGGTCTTGATGCGACAGAATCCTGCTGAAACACTTCGTCGGGTATTACCAAAAATCAGAGTAAGTTTTGTGAAATGAGGTTTGAATGTATCTTTTTCTGCAAGTATAGGTATTTTAACAATGGCAAAAAAAAAAAATCCCACTTTTATTTCAAACTCACTCTTTAGGAGGGCTATGTCCAGTAGGTCTTCCACATTAATTCACTGAATTTATGAAGTATTAACAGGTATTACATTTAAAAAAAAAAAGTCACAACTGGAAAAACCCTAAAACTAATACTATTTATGTGTTCTAAAGATTTAACAGTATTTTGACAGCTTTTTGAGGATTCTTTTTGAGGAGCATCTAATCATAATGGGTCATTTTGATCTTCTCAATCTCCTTCCATCCAAATATTGAGATTTTCATGCTGCTGTCCAGAAGAGTGTAGTTTGCTTTTAGCTGTCTGTGAAATGTCATACACTACCCTACCCGCATTTTTAGTTCGTTGTGGTAGATGCATGCTGACCATGTAATGTTATGCAGTAATTTTATATATGGATATGTTTATGTAAAGAATACTTGGGTTGTTCAACCTGGAGAAGAGAAGGCTCTGGGTAGACCTTATTGCGACCTTTCAATACTTAAAACAGGCTTATAGGAAAGATGAGAACAAACTCTTTAGCCTGTTGAGGGTAATGGATATAACTAAAGGGTAGATTCAGATTAGATCTAAGGAAGAGATTGAGAATGGCATGAGAATGGCAAAACACTGGAACAGGTTGCCCAGAGAAGTTGTGGATGCCGCATCCCTGGAAGTGTTCAAGGTCAGACTCTGAGCAGTCTGGTCTGGTGGAAGGTGTCCCTGCTCATTGCTGCAGGGGACTGGACTAGATGACGCTTCCAACCCAAATCATTCTATGATTCTGCGATTTTGAGGAACATACAGATCTCTTATGTATTTCTACTCTGCCCTAGATATGAACGCTTGGCTAGAAGAAATGTAAAAGTTCGTTTAAGGTGTGGTTTAAGGAGCAGCTTCAGCCAAATAAGAACAAACTGCATCACAAATACTAATGCAAAGCTTAATAACTCTATTTGAGGCTGTAGTAGGAATTATGACTTTGATTACGTTAGCCAGCCTGTTAGACTGGTTTTCAGTCATTTTAAAGGCTACCAGCTGGGTGGAAAAATACATTTGTTTTAGCTATCAAAATATCTCAAAGTTGGTACACAGCAAATATCTGAGTTGTTTTTGTTTATTTTTTATGTGATTAAATCAAAGTTTTGATTTACAACAGTCTCTAACTTGGTCTTGTGCAATTGATGACTTTGATATAAACACAGTTCTAATTTATACAAATTTTCAGCTGAAGGAGCACTATGTTTGTTAGCAGTTATTTCAGTATTTTCAAAGCATTGAGTTATGTTAGTAATTTTATGGACAGCCTCAGTTTCCTTGTTCCCCATGTATTTTTAGAGATACATTTGACACTTTCAGTAGTGTGAGTCAGTCATGATTTTACCAGGACACTTTTTGAATTTATTGGGGTTTTTTCCCATATAATTCTAAATCTCTCCCTTTTTAACACAATTTGCCAATAGGAATGCTATTTTCTTGTTGGAAGCAACTAATGCTTAACAAGAATATTTAGATCACTTGAGACAAGAAACATTTAAGTAGTTACTGACTCAAGCTAAAAGATTGATAATCTAAAATACATTGAAATTAAATGTAGAGTTATTTTAAGAGTCTGTGTTGTCCTTTCTATCTCAAGAACTTTAGGGTTGAGAAGAAATTTTCTGTAGTAGCTGCTGTGAGTTTTTTTGCTGTATCTGTATCAAATTCTCATTGCCAGGTATAAGAAAGCATGTATTAGTAGGAAAAGTGAGATGACTGACTCACGTGCTTATGTTATATAGTTTTCTATCTGCTGAGGAGATGTTTACTAAGTAGTGAAGTGGACCCATGCAAAAATTATTCTTGTTTGTTTCACTGAATTGTCATTATGTTTCATTGTTTTCTTTGCTGAAGTTTTCAAAAATTAATTACTACTTCTGTTGAAAACCTATGTGGATGTGTATCTCTGAGTTTGTTTTTGCTTTTTTTTTTAAAGGCAGGTACCATAACATTATATTAATAAAAGAATTTAAAATAGAGTCATATTATGAAAAATTACTTGGTATGTTTCTTACTGTCTGGGGAATTGGTCTTAAACTGAATCCTCCCTCTGTCTCCTAATGTTAAGGAAGAGGCTACTCAAGGGACAATTCAGTATTTGTGAAAAATTAATTTAATGAGTCATATCCTGCACATTGTTATGAATTGATTGACTGAAAGATGAGGAACAAATATTTTTGTAGTCCTTACCATGATTACTTAGCAAATATTCTTCTGTAGGTTATTTAAATACAAGCCCTGCTGCAGGGAGGACTTAGGTTCTGTGTGGTAGATGTACTTCACAAAGTTCTGTGCACCAATACATGCTGGGTATCACCCAGGTGAAAAGCTGCTTTGCAGAAGAGCACGTGTTGGTCACCAAGCTGAACATGAGCCAGCAATGTTCCCCTGCAGCAGAGCATCCTGGGCTGCATTAGACAGGACATTGCAAACAGTTCAGAGGTGATCCCTCCCCTCTACTCCACTTCCTACTCTACTCCACCTGTAGCACTTACCCAGTTTTGGGCTCCTCATAACAAGAGAGGGCTGGAACTGTTCAGAAGACCCTTGCAGAAGAAAGGCTTGGAGAGGATCTTATCAACATATGCAAATAAATGAAAAAGTCAGGCTCTTTGCAGTGGTACCCAGTGACAGGACCAGAGGCAGTGGGCTCAAATAGAAACACAGGAGGTTCCTTCTGAGTATCAGAAAACACTTTTTTACTATGAGGGTGACCAAGCACTGGCACAAGTTGCCCAGAGATGTTACTGTCTCCCTCCCTGGAGGTATTCAAAAGCAGTCTGGTCATGCCCTAGCTCTAGGTGGCCCTGCTCAAGCATAGGGATCAGACAAAGTGACCTCCAGAGAGCCCTTCAGTCTCAAGCGTTCTGTGAATACCAGACATCATCTCTAAACTTCATATTATCTTCTGAAACTTCTATGATCCCAGGGAGACTCTTATTTCTTAAGGGGAACTAGTCCAATTTTTTTCTGATTATTTAAATTCAGCAAATAGTTAAGAAATAACTCTCTTTAGAACTAAGGACTAGTAAAGACAGATTGTTTAGAAAACATTGAAGTGCTTTCTATTTATGTTCTGTGCTATAAGATGCAGATCGATACGCATTTTGTTTAAATATATATGTGTTTAAAAATGCTTTGAGAAGAATGACTTGAAGTTGCAAAGTACTTGGAAACCCTTCAATTTACATGAAGTATGTGCAGTTACTGCCACATTATTCTGACACAGGTAATGCAATCTTTCCTAAACCAACCTCACTGACTTCAGGAGAAGTTGGTTTGGTTTTTTTATGTTTAACATATTGAATCCATTTTTGCCTCTGGTGTTTCTACTTTGAGAGCAGATTTCATCCTGAAATGAAGGAGAAATAAGAAACACTGGGGATTTTTTTACTCTTATTTTTCAGGGTGTAGAGAAGTGCTGGTTTTGGCCTGTCTTCAATAAAAAGTCTATTATGGGAATACAGTTTTTGATTCTAGTCTTGTATTTTTTTTATATAGGGAGAGAGGAAAAATTTAGAAGTGTGATCATTATCATGAACGGGGCCAAGGGCCTGGAAAATATTTGTGCAGTGGGAGTTGGATCTCAGTGTGATCTTAGATCAGGTAGTACTTAATTGCTTTGTAAAAGTATCTTCCTGTATAATATTAAAGAACATTCAACTGAAAATAGTATGTGAAGAAAGAAGCATTAGGAATTGAAGACAGAAATGTTAGAAATGAAGCAGACAACTTTAATAATAAATGCAATCAATCTTTGAGTAAATTACTGAGAAAAGTAGTGTGGTTTTCATCTTACAGTGTCATTTAAACCCAAACTGGATGCCCTCCTAGATGATAAATTAAATGAAACCTAAGTTAATGGGCTCCAGGCAGGGGTAAAAGAGTAAAATGTAATGAGGTCAGTCTAAATCTAAGCATTCCTTTCAGGTTTAAACTTTATAAATGGAAACTTTCTGATATGTGTTAAGTTTTTTTCTGTAGCGATGCTTTTATAAAGCCAGTTTTTCAATGGTGTTCTGTTATCTAATATTTATTTAATCTGTAATAGAAGTGCAGTTCTGCAGCCATGTGCACTGCACTTTTAACTGCAAAACAGTATTGGCATCATTAAGTTGATATATTTTTTTTCTTATCCTTGTTTTTGTTGGAGGAATTTTCCTGACCATTAAATGGAAACTTTAATAGTCTATAAAGGCATAATTGAACTCAACTGTGATTAGAGTCTTCAAATGTAATCTGGCATTGCAGGGAAATAAGCTGATTTAAATTACTGCACTTGGTTCCACTTCTTAAGACAGGGAAAAATGATTTGTGAATTCATATTGGCACATGAAAAATGAATTGTTCAGTAGTTTCAGAGGGCTGTTTATTTGAAAGTATTGTCACCATATATATTGCATAAGGAAACCAATGTACTTATTCAGGATACTTGCAGAAACTCAAAGCAAAAATAAATACTGTTTTTATTGGAGCTGAGAATAATGCAGAGGAAGGAAGAAATAAATTTTCTAGCTAGATACATTACAAATTTGTATTTCATTCATGAGACATTGATAAACCTGGTTGCTTCCATAAATATAGGAATGTGTATATGCAATTGCTTATTATTTGTAAAATCTAATTAAATTAAAATTACATCAAAGACGCTTTATTTATTTAACATATTTTTTAGATCTGAGATGAGCAAAATCAGTATGTCAATAAATATGACATAAGTAGTGATTGAATTAGGTGTCAGTATTTTGGGTATGCTAACAAAACAAATACCCTGTATATAATGTAGATGTTAAAGTAGAAATGAGATTATGAAATATTTTTCTTAAGTTCTGTTAAAATGAAGTGACATCCTTGTATGGGTTCTTTTGTATAGAGAACCCCACTCTGGATTTCTGCATGCACCTCCTCATGAACTTTGGAAGTTATTGAAATGCAGATTTAGGGAAAGCTTAGATATTCTTATCAACTTCTCTTCCTACACCAAATGGCTCTTTTCAAATGATGTTAGTAGTATTTCCCTCCTTTCTATCCTTGGGCTCTGCAACCAGAAGTGGTGGAGGGAGACTACAGGTGTCTATCTGACTAATAAGAGATTTTTTTCAAATGCAACAAACTATGGTATTCTTGTTGTAGTATATACATCAAGCTTCATTCAATGTTGTCTGATTAATTTCAAACTCATTTTCACAGTTACTTATTTTCCCAATCTGTCCGTCTCCTCTTGAAGTTTTTCTTTTCCTGTAATTGGTTTTATAGTTTAAGAAGAGGTGGAGTGATTTTCATCCTTTGTTATACCTAACATTGGTCTTAAGGTCCATTCTCATTGTATCCTTTTATTTCTGTAATTTCCATTATTTCTGTGTCTTTTAGTCTTAAAGGAAAATTTCTGTCATATCAACACAATTACTAAAATGGTTTGACTATGTTCCTGCTTGCAGCATTCTTTCAAGAGAATTCTATTGTTGCAGGACAGAATGTGCATTTGAACTAGTGGTGAATTTCCTTTTTTTACAATTAATGGAATAAACCAGGCTTTCTAAATTTTGCAAGTTTTGATGCCTGAGTTTAAGTTGTGGACATTGGAACAGTCAAGAACATGCTGATACCTAAAATTCCGTTAAATATACTTGTCTCAATAAGATAGGAAAAGCATTTTTCCTGCAGTGAAAATCTGTGGAGTATCCATGTATAGAAAAATACGTTACCTTCTAAATAAATAGATTTATGTTAATTAAATCTAAGTTATCCAACTTAAGTGAAAATGGAAAGAGGAGACCCATACATTTTGAGAATGCAGAACTGTGCAGTTCTGAGTGCAGACATCAATGCAGACAGGTGTGTAAGCAATCTAGAAATTTACATTTCAATGTCTCCCGAGGTCCATGAGGAGGCACATCCAGAGAATGTGTTCTCACACATGACTATCCAGAGTTGTGTGGATCTGTGGAGGAGACTATTTGGAAACTTTGTTTGTTGGTAAGTAACCCTGTTTGTGTTGCGCACAAAGCAAATACATACATAAAACTGAATTCAGAGAATCATAGAATCATTTAGGTTGGAAACAATCTTTAAGTTCATCAAGTCCAACTCTTAGCCTGGCACTGCTCCATTATTTTCTGGTCTCTGTTAGCATCTGCTGGGCGTAGATAGTGCTTTTGATTATCTTGGGGATGTTTTTTTGAACAAGTGTGAGACAGAATCCCAGAACAGTATGGACAGATATTCTGATCCCAAAAATATTCAAAATGCAAAATTGGTAGGTGTCCTTATTCTTTCTTGGCTGTGGATGTAATACCAATGGAGGAACAAGGACAGAGGTAGGCTGTGGAAATAAGAGGGTGGTCTCCATGGCTATTGAATGCAGATATTTTATAACACTTGCTGGTAACAGCTCAGTGCTGTTTCTTTTTTTCATTTAGGGGAGGAATGACACAGGGAATCCTTTTAGAAATAAATGTGACCATAAACTGAGACAGGTCTTGAGAGATAAGTAATGGTTCTCCTTGAAATCAGATAGACTAATAATTGTGCATTTTCACATACAAACTAGTTGACACTTGTGGAATGAAAGCTTCTCATTTTTTACCAAATCTACTAAAAATTTCTCCGTTGTTCTTTACAAACCATTTTCTCAGCAAATTTCCTCTGCTATTTAATACCTAGAATCATAGAAACATTAAAGTTGGAGAAATCCCAAGATCATTGAGTCCAGCTGTTTACCCAGTACCACCATGTCCACCATTGAACCGTGTCCCCAGGTTCCATATCCACATGCCTTCTGAATACTTCCAGGAATGGTGACTCCACCACTTCCCTGGCCAGCCTGTTCCAATGTCTGAACACCCTTTCATTGAAGAAAGCCACTTTCCAACCACTCTACCCTAACCTTTACTGCTGCACGAGGTTGATGTGACCCAAGCGCAGGACCCAGCACTGCCTTGTTGAACCTCATACAATTGGCCTTGGCCCGTCAGTCCATCCTGTGCAGATCCCTCTGCAGAGCCTTCCTACCCTCCAGCAGATCAACACTCCCACCCAACCCCGTGTCATCTGCAGACTGACTGACCCTAGTCCTGGTCATCAGTAAAGGCATTAAACAGGACTGTTTCCAGTATTGAGCCCTGAGGAACCACTTGTGACTGGCTGCAAGCTGGATCTAACTCCATTCACCACCACTCTTGGGACCCAGCCATCCAGCCAGTTTTCAACCCAGCAAACAGTGCACCTGTCCAATCCATAAGCATCCATACACTTAGGTGCATAATGAATACTTTTGTAATCTGATCTAGGCTTATTTTTATTTTAAATTAAAAGAACAGATTATTTTTTATTTTTGGCAAGTGATCTGAGAATGCACTGTTCATCTCAAGCCCTTCAAAAAAGAAACAAAAACCATAAATATAACATGTTATGTAAGAAGTATGGGCTTTAAACTCTTACAAAAAGTTTGGAGTGACTTGTGAATGAGTGTAATACTTTAGTGGTAGAATAATGAACTCTTTATTTTCTCATGAAATAGATACATTTAGAGAAGTAAACGGAATGTTCACCTAGCTGATAGATATTTACAATTACTACTACTTACAATGAATGCTGTGTCATAGATTGCATCATGGAAGTTCTGTGCATAAATCTGAAATTTAAAATACAAATAATCTTTTTGTTTAATTCAACAAAATTAATAATATTTCATCCCCTTATTATCTTTGTTTAACTTTCAGATTGATTATTTTAAAGACAGCCTAATTAATTATATTCTTGTATGTTAAAGCTTAGAAATATTGAGTTAGCTAGATAAATATTCTACTCCATCTTGCCTTATTCTTAGGACTATATATATGTGCTTTTTAATTTACATTCCATGTTAGTTGTCAAGGGATGAAATTTAGGTTGCCTTCTGCTATTTTAGTATCTCTCACTGAATGAACGAAGTACTTCTTTTTAATTCATGTGCATAAACAGCGAAAGTGCAATTGTTGGCTGGTCTGTTTTTACCTCTCATTCTGAAAAGTTGAACAATCCACACATACACATTGATGAAACTGGAAGTCACAAAAAATATTTAAATAAAATATTATAATTAACTTTTATTCATGCTGTAATATAAGAAAATCTAATATCTGCAAGAAACTGCTGTTAAGAGAAGAAATAATTTTACAGAGAATTCTGTAGTTTACCCAACTTGTTGCACATTAATTCTAAAAGTGAATGCAAAAATTTGTGTGTTCTTTCAGTACATTTCTGCCTCATGCTTTATACTGATATAATTTGTAATTATACAGGAGGTTCTGCATGTTGCAGGAGTGGAAATGCAGTTAACAGCTGCTGTTTCATTTTTGACTGTTCTGCAAGAGGAGTCGGTGTCCATTCATACATACTCCCACTCCTTCCTACACATCATTCTCCAGAACCTGGAACACAGAGATGCAGGTCAGAGCTGTACGGCTACTCTGCTGACTGATGACTTCTATATGTTTTGTTTCCTTAGGGACCATACAATACTGGGTAAAGCAGTGAGTGCAGTCACTGTGACTTTGTATCTAAACTTGCATGAGTGAAATATTTTTGCATGCTGACCACTTCCATAATAATATTTAAATGTAATTCTGATTGAAGTAAGAACAACTCCACTTTGACTGAAGGACTTAATCCCGAAGTTTTTACTGGCTTGGAGTTTCTCTTGAAGTACCAAAATTTTGTGGCTGAAAAGTTGGAGGGAGGATGGTTGGCATTTCTTCTTTGTTGATTAGTTTTTCTTAATTTCTAGAATACAAAGAAAAAAAAAGACATTTTGTAAAACTAGAAAGTTTCAGTGGACATAAGGAAAGAAAATGCTTCTAAATGAGGGAAATTAGCTTTAGAAAACAAACAGGAGCATTATTAATTTTATACAGGAATTTAAAAGGTACAAGAAATGGGGACAGAATTTGCTTCTCACCTATCCTACTTCTTGGCTTGAAGCTTTAGACATTAATTTAGTGACTTCTAGGTACATAGCTCCTTGAAGAGATGTCTGTGAGAAGTTAGAACAAATTTTGTAAAACTGATGTCTATTTTGTTGCATGTACAATGTAACATGGGTTATATAAATTATAACCATTTCTTTTGAACAGGTGTCAGCAATGCATGGTTAGAAACTCTTCTTGCTGTAATAGAAGCTTTACCAAAAGAAACTGTCAGGCACGAGGTAATAATAATCTCTCACTTATGCTAACAAAAAGTAAGATTAAGATTGAAAGATTGTATTTCCCTGCACATTTTATTCACTTCTGTAAGATTTGTGGCACTTCTGTACCTGGCAAAATGAACATACTGTAAGAGAGGAATATTCTAGAATGTGATAGAGGATCTGTGGCTGTGATTTGAGTCATAAAATGCTGTTTGTGCCAATATAGGCATTTAATATTCTATAGTAGCACTGAATATTGAAATCAGGTTTCCAGTAGACTATTAATGTACATGGGCATCATTGCTGTTAGTATTAATTAATTCCATGAGAAGGTTAATGACATCTGGGATATGTTTTCCTAGCTTTTTTTAAGAAGAGGAATACTTTATTTATGCTCACAATTCTTTTGTTCATGTTTCTTTTTTTTTTTTTTTCCACATAGATCCTGAATCCACTTGTTTCCAAAGCACAGCTTTCTCCATCAGTTCAGTCCCGTTTAGTTAGTTGTAAAATCATGGGAAAAGTAGCTAACAAATTTGAAGTCCATATGTAAGTAAACTGAAAATATCTTTTCATTCCATAGTATAAACCAGTATTCTTTGTTAATGGACAAAAATTACTGCAAGAAAAGTAGACTTGTTGCAAAAATGAAACGATTTCTTCTTATAGATCCATTTATCTGGATATTAATTATTAATAAAAAATGTTCATTTTGTAACAAGCATATTCAGAGATGCTTATGTTCATCAATTCATAACTTCAGTTTGTATGTTCTCTCACAGGTTTGAATGGATATGCTTTTCATGCCATTCTTTCATATAATTTTTCTTACTAGAAAATACGCCAAACAGTGGATTTCTCTGCAATTTTCAGGGACAAAACACAACTTCATTACCTTAGAGTTTCTTGTCATAAACAAAAGAATTCTGTTCCTTTCTTTTTATTATCTAACCAAATTTAATATATGGAATTTTTGTTTTCTATCCCACTTATATGGAGATATATTCAGGAACCACTGTTGTTCCCTTATAGTATCAAGCCCTCAGATTCAGTGTCTGTGATTTTAGAGAGTGGAGGAGAAGAGGGAAGCAATGATAAAAGTAAATCTGACTAACCTACCTGCCCGAAGCAGTTGGTACAGTATGGAAGTTGGTATGGTACATTCCTTGGACAGTTTATCCCTGGACACTAGGGCCACTTCACCCAATGTGTTTCCAGGAGGTTGGCCACATCTGATTTGGAATTACAAAAGAAATCCACTGAGGGCTGCTAAATGCACAGAAACAGTGTCTAGCTGAGAAAGTCTTCTCTAATAATGATTTTGATCTGCCCCAAAATTTAAGAATTCAGCATAATAGAAATGAAGAACAACAGGATGATGTGACCAGAAATTTAGGAATAAATTTATTTACAATATGGTTTTTTTCTTCAATAAAAAAGAACTAGAAGGAACCAAAAGGAAGCTATCTGCATCGTCATCTGCTGTTTACACTGTGCTTTTTGGACATGAAAATGTTAATGAGCATGGTAGAGTAGTGTTTTTTTGACAAGGTTATCAAAGTCTTCAAAGTCTTTATATTCTGAATTTGTAGAATTCTGTCAGAATAGCGGTCCCATTTATTTATTTGAAGTTACATTCTTGTGAAAATAAGTGACTTTGCAGGTAGCTTGGAATCTTATGTGAGAATATAGTAGTATTAAGTAGTAGCTGTAATAATCATACTTTCTTTTGTTGTGTTTCTTTAATATGATTCCTTGCTGTTCAGAAGTAGGAAACCCCTCGTTTCAGTGAACAGATAATAGCTCCTTTTCTGCTCAGCAGCTACGTGTTAAAAAGATGGCTGAAAATTTTCTGGGACACATTGTTCATCTGGTAGAGAGCTCTGAGTGCAGTTCAGAAGGCTGAAAAGAGACATCAGTCCCCAGGTTTACAGTGTGGCAGACTAAGATTTGTGACACACTCTCGTTCCCCTCGCAGGAAGGCTCTTGGTACAGGCCCAGGAGACATACCTGTCCTCGGGAGTAGACAATATATAAGCATATCTTCACTTTCTTCTTCAGAATGGCATGATTTTTCCTTGTAAAATTTATACTATAATTAAAAACTTTTCATTTATATTTCATGCTAATCCCAGGTTATTTTACAAAGTATTGAGAAAGTCCTGACCTTGTCAAATAACATCAGTTTTTCTACCCTCTGTTCCAGAGTTCCAACAGCTAATTACAGATGCTGGTTTGTGGTTTTTTTTAAGTAGCCCTTACTTCAGAGTATTCTAAAATGCCAAACTTCCAAGAATTTGTACAATTTTTGAAACTTGAGGCCAAACTTTTTTATAAGAAGTAAATTAATTTTCACTGGAATGAGTGGAGACTTTGCAGGCTGGCTTGAACATTTGCTTGTCTGTGACTGCATATTATTTCTCATGAGTTTTGCAACAGCATAAGGATTTATATAGAGATATTTTAAGAATACTCATTACAGCATCTTGGGCAATGAGAGGAAACACAATGGCTGATAATGCCAAGTTGTAGTATGTGTTTTTACTTAAATAGAAATCAAAATTTTTATTTTATATTTGCCATTGATTTAACATGAATACTTGATCTACTTGCACAAAGGCATTGCAGTACTCAAGCTTTTAATCTTAAATTCTTTTTCTCCTTTCTTCTCAATTACCTCTTTGGTGATACCTGCATACCAAAGATGAGGTATTACAGACATTTAATTGGGATTTTCACTTCCCTTTATGTAATTCCTTTTATTCTTTCAGTGGCTATTCAAAAATTCTAATGAAGATGGTTATTAATTGAGGACATCTCTAAGCCTGCCTACTATTTTTGTAGTTTAAAAAAAATTAGTAGATGAAACATGACAAAATTATAATGACAGTAAATAGTCCTTTTCCTGTTTCTTTATAGCATATGTTTGTGTCCAATGTACAGTATTCTTTTATAATTGCAAATTCTCAGAAATATGATTTACCATGTGTGATAAATTTTTTTAAAGTTACTATTACAAGTAGTGTATGAGTAAAATTTGAGCACTACTGAGTGGATTTTACATATTCTTGTTCTGTATATTAATTAAAATGTTCACATTTTTAGTATTAAAAGAGAGGTTCTTCCGTTGGTGAAATCACTGTGCCAGGATGTGGAATATGAAGTTAGAACTTGCATGTGTCGGCAACTGGAACATGTGGCTCGAGGAATCGGGTGAGTGCAATTTGCCAAACTGAGTCTAAATGCAAAATCTTTCTCTAAAATATTTAATGGGAACCTAAATCTCCTTTTAAAATTGCTGAATTCATGCATACTGACTATTGAATTTGGAGTGCACAGATGTGCTCTTAGGGGTTGGCTGTTGGCAGTTGACTCTTTTCCACGTTTAGATTTTTCTTTTACAGTAAAATTGCTGAACCATAAAACTGACAGTTTTTTGTAAAGAATGACTTCATCTATAGCTTCTTGAAATCATCTCAGTTATCCATGGATGGTATTTGCCTTATTTAAAAATGGAAGAGGTTTATGGCAAGTGTTAGCAGTTTATAATAATTACTGTGCAGTTTTTTGAGAAAAGATGCTAAATTGCTTTTGTAAGCAAATTTCAGTTCAGTATCAACTTTTACTCTAAGCTTGAAGGCCTTCAATATTCATGTGTAGGAATGGAAGTATGGAGTTTTTATTTTAATAAAGAAGTTATGTTAATAATGAACATGTTAACTACCCACACAGGATTGGTCTCTTAGTGAAAAAATATTTAAAAGTTGGAGGTCTGTGCACCTGTTACTGTGTCAGGGAGTAAAAAAAGCTGTAACTTCTCCCACAGACTTGAAGAAGTTATCAAGTAAGGTTCTCTACCCTGTGTTAGACAGTAGGCATAGTAATCTATGAGGTCTATAAAGGGCTAATGACCTTTAGTGACCCTCTGTTTATTAAAATTGTAAATCTGTGAGCAAGTTCAAGGAGGAGGCTGAAACTGAAATGTAATTTAAAAGATAAGTATGTACTTCAGTCTGTTAGTACAGGTGTTTGTCAAAAGGATTCCTTTCTGTAGCTGTGGAATGATTTATTTTTTAATGGAGAATTATATTGTGGTTTAGATTCTGAGTTATTAAAAAAAAAAACACACACCAAAAAAAACCCCTAAAACAAACCACCAGATATTCCTGAAGCAATGTGATTTACCTCTCAGCCATGGACTACTGGAAAAATGTATGTTTGGACTGTTTTAGCTTACTCAGTTATAGGGAATTCACAGCAAGAACTAAGCACTACTGTCATGTACTTAATTGGACTTTGTTTTATTAAGGTCATGCAGGTTAGTAATGTCTAGATTCCTAGAAAAACTTGGGTTTATTGTTTACAAAATAATCTTATATGTATGCTTTAGGCACTTCTGCAAGCTCCTTGTCCTGCAGAAGTTCAGAGGATGTGTTATGACTCATCTCAGTAATGTTGCTCATTTGTTTTTGTACTTATTCTCTTTTATATCAAAATGTAGTTTAGCATGATAAATCATTCTAACATTTGCCGCACTGAATGGCTTTGAATATAAAAGAACTTGTGATTATAGAAAAGAAAGGTAGTATTTGTCAATATTGTTGATATTTGTAAAACAGGGAATTTAACATGCCTTTTACTAAACTGAATTACTGAATAATTTGAACTTGCACTGGTTTTTACGGTATGCATGGGTCTCATGTATCTTTATGTATCACAAAATTGAATTCTGTTTAATGGGACAGTAAAGATGAGAGAAAGAGAGGGTTCTGTTTATTTTCGGGGAGTACCCTGGTGTTTTTATTCCATAACTACTGAGTTTTGAAGGGCAAGATAGTTCTACCTGTCGTATTAATTGGAGGATTTTTGATACCATGAAAATGGAAATCCACAGAAACATGTTTGCAATTTTTTAAAAATCTATTTCCCCTCTCCCTGCTATTTCTGAGTTTTAATTTAGGGTGTAGTCCTACACTTTTCTCCTGTGACCATTCTTAGGCTGTATGTTTTTGTCTAGGTCAGTCACCTTCGTTCCTCTCTTACTAATTTGTTCTTCTTCAATCCCATGAGATTTTTTTGATGTCTTATTTGAGATGCTGTCTCCATTTATGTATGTGTAAAAATAATGACTAAATGTTATTAATAATAATATTAATAATAACTGAATTTGTATTATTTTCCTCAGTCCTTCTTCAACTGCAGTTTAAGTTCAACATATGCTAAGCAATGTTAAAGAAGAAGCAAAAAAGATGTTTTCATATATAACAAGGTGGCTATGTCTTATACTAAGTGGCCATATTGGAACCAAAATTTTCTTAAATTTGTTTAGTGTCTTTACAGTCAACTAAATTTCATTTATTTTATGTGGGAGATGAAAGTTTTAAAACAAGATAGGTGTTAAGCAGTGGTAAAGGACAGTATTACTGCTAATTTACCCCATTTTAGAGTGGTGGGTTTGATAGGGCTAAATACTTTGTTATCAATTAGTGGTCTGTCCTGTGTATTTTATTTTGATTCTTTCCTCACCAGCTTTTATTTTTAGCATGAATGTCTTTGTATAGACTGTTCTCTCTCTGAGGTTTTTACCTAATCCCTTCCCGATGCTTTAGATGCTTTAATCTCATAAGAAATTGTGAACATGGAGTATTTTCAGTATGAAAGCTATTTCAGTGTTTCATATTGAGGATGAATAGGTAGTACGTAAATAAAGAAAATTAACTAAACAGAAATGAGTATTGTTTAGGTAAATGTTGAAGGTATAATGTGACAACAGTCCAAATGCTTATTTTTACTAGTTAATGATATTACCACTAAATGATACATCATTTTATTGTAATTTTATTTGAATGTTTAATCATTTGTTTCAAAGAATACTGTTAAGCTACTGCTTGATTTGCTTGTAATAATAGTAAACTCTGTAAGGTGCAAATCACTTTGGTGCTGATTATAAACATTTGAATACATATAAGTATTATTGTTCATATTGACTTACAAAAGGGACAGCTATTACTACTTTAATCTGATTGGAAGGAATTTTTAATTCAGCATCCTGGAGGTTGTGATCAATTCAGTATTAAAAACTGTGATTAATAGATTGAAATGACAGTCTAAACCTTGCCTACTCAGTTGCTCAGAGTGTCATACGTAGTTTCGTTTTTGTCATCTTGGTTAATGCTCATGTAGTACAACTTTGTCAGAGTGTTTCCCTGTAGTTTTATGTCTTGGGCAGTACAAATGTTGAGAGCCAGATCCCTTGGTATTAGAAGTTGCTGAGGTCCCATTCTTGAGGTGTGATGCTTCAGGTCCTTTCACTAATTGAAAAGCAAAATCTATGAGAGTAGGACAAGATGGCCTTCTTACCTCAAATGCAGACAAACACTGGAACTAGACTACTATAAATTAAAAAATGAGCATGACAGAAAAAGCCCCAGTGAAAATAGTGGATATGTCTTCTTAGTTCTTGATAGTAGGGCTGGAGAAAAGGTTTTTCTAATTTCTTAAAGCAGCCAAGAATCAGTTATACACTGGGACATGGAAAATTACATTTCTTAGTAACTTTTACAGAAGCTATACTTTTGCTCCAAGAAGCAAATCTCTTTTCATCTTCTTAATGCCAGGAACAAATTTTTCTGTGTCAAGAGTATTTCACTCCTCCTTCGTGACCTCTCTGATTAAGTTTTGATTTCTAAGACAGTCCCTAATACAACAATCTGCTGCCCCTTCACTGATTCCGGTTCACAGGACTGTCACACACACAGGCAATACCAGTAATTACCAAGGCAAATAAAGGCAAGCAGAACCCTTTCTCATCTTTGAAGTACAAGATTTCCAGACACTTTAATCCAACATGGCTCATACTTAATAATTTTTGGTATTGAGCATATTTGATCAGAAGAGTTTTCTTAGTGAAGTAGCTGTGCTCCTTTAATTTTTTTTTCAGACTACATTTTCTCTCATTTATTTTGAGCTAATTTGAATGCTTTCTTAGTGGAAAAGTTTTGCATGTTGAATTTGCAGGTTTCTTTGGCTGGCAAAGAAAAAAGTCCTGAGATTGACTAGAGGTTTTTATATAATTTTCTTTTCCTTAGAACTTTGTCAGTTTTTTCTTCTTGACTCTCCAAAAAAATAGCTAAATAAGTATTTCAAGAAAGAATTCTGTTTTTATGTAGAGTATTATTTCATTGTAAGTTTTCTTTTGACTGCTTGCCTCACGTTGCAGGACAGAACTAACAAAAACTGTGGTGCTTCCTGAATTAGTAGAACTGGCAAGAGATGAGGGCAGCAGTGTCCGCCTTGCAGCTTTTGAGACATTAGTGAATCTGCTTGATATGTTTGATGCAGGTAAGAATTTAATTTAGGCTCACTAGCTAAATTCTTAGTGCTTTAGTGCATCTTATAATTGTATTTAAATGCATTTTGTTCTGTGTTCTTCAGACATTTCTGATTTGATTTTTTAAATTGTTTTATCCTTTATATATCCTTATTTTTCATGTTTTGCAGTGCTTTATACATAGAAAATTTTAAGGGAGGTGAACCATTTGTTAATAAAATCAGTTATCGTATTCCAAGTTTCTAATGTAATGTGGCTAAATGGACTGAGTAAAATTACTATATAAATTAAAGGAATATTGGTTACTAGTATTTATTAATTTAATTAATTTAATGCTATCAATACACAATACAAAATGTTAGCTCAAAAAATATTTACTGTATGGGAACTTGGTATGAATTACTACAATACATTGTTGCATTTAAGCCATATGAAGGAGTAGAAAAAGAAAAAATAAGACGGTTTTGGGGAGAATACCATAAATGGACTCTCAGCAGTTAGTGTTTATATCAGTAAGTATGATAGTAGGCTAATTTTCAAATAATTGAGCCTTTGGGTTGATGCTGTCAAGTCTGTGCTTCTCTTCACACCTCTCAGTCTTCACTCCTCCTCCCCCACCCCCGACTGCTGTAACTGCTGCTCTGAGCTATTGTAAAAAGCTTAGAGAAAGCAATCAGGGGTTATTTACAGGTTTTTAAGGAATGTGTTTCTAGAAGTTCAGGTTGTGAGGGTTTTGCTTTCATGGCTGAACTAGAAAAAGAACATTTTTGAAGGTAGATGACCCCAAAATTATATCCTAGCGTTTCTTTGCCACATTATCAAAATATTTCTTCTGCTTTGTTCAGCCATAATTATTTGATGAATTGTGTTATTGATATATCATTAAAAAATCCTAATCCCTTTAAAACTTGAACATTTTAATACAATTATTTTATTTAAGTCAGAATGCATAAATTTCTTAACTTATTACATAACTTCAGTCTCTGTGCTCTTTTATAAGTGTTGACAAATGGATAACTCTGAAAATTTCTTCTGTTTTTCAGATGACAGGAGTCAAACTGTTCTCCCATTAGTGAAATCGTTCTGTGAAAAATCCTTCAAAGCAGATGAATCTATCCTAGTTTCTTTATCTTTCCATTTAGGGAAACTGTGTAATGGATTATATGGTATGATTTAATTTCTTTTTTAAAAAAATCTTAAAAATGGGAGAATATTGGAGTATTTGAACCCTTTGAAAAATATCCATATTTGAGTGTATCCAATGAAATGGTAGTTAGTAAGGGAAATATGGAAGTAAAAGTTTGACATCATCTGTTGCCTTAATACTGGATTTTGGAAATTTCCTCTTTGTGTGATCAACTGCTTATTGTTTGTTGTTAATTTTGTTTTATTTACACAGGGTCAGAGATGGAAACATGGTGGTTTATGTTTATTGGTTTGACTGATTTATTTCGGTACTCTGGAGCTTATGATTTGAATGACTGAATTTTTGAAAATAGAAACCTTTGAAAACAGTACTATGTTAACTTTGTGTGTTCACTTGATTTCCTTTTTAAGACACAGTACAAACTGTGGCCCATAAGGAGCTTCAGGGAAGAAAGGAGACCTAATGGCATCTGGATTTCCCAGCTGCAGCTGAGGCTAAATCTGAGGCTAAATCTGCACCCATAATTTTTGTGCCCATAATTTGTGCTCAGATTTTCACTTGGACACAGCAGATCTTTCCTTGATAATTCCTTGATAAATTCCTTGTTAATTTCCTTGATAAATGCCCACCATATTTTACATGTGGGAGGACAGCACAGCATCATGGTTTTACATTATAATTTCTCCTGAGACTCTTTAAAACCTTTGATCTTTCTTGCAGTATTTGAAATGATCCTTTGTGATCAAAAGTGACCGTTGCTTCACTACAAATTACTTGAAATGGCTGTTCCACGGTGCCAAGCTGTTATCTCCAGAAACAGAGTTAGGACAGTTCATCCTGTATTTATCATGTCTTTCCAGTCTTCTTTTCTCTGGGTTAGACAAGTTTAATTGCTGTCTCTCTTCACCTCTGAACTCTGTCTGGCAAGTTCTTATTTTTCTTGAAGTGTTATGTCTTGGGACAGCTGAACAAAGTGAAAGGGTTACTTCATGTGTCTTGCAAGATGCATTGCTATTTACATTTTTCAGTATGAAAAAATGCCTTTTTTTTTTTTTTTTTTTTTAAATCTAACTTTTCTAGTTAGTCTTTCTCTTTCCTGGCCCTATACAGGCAATGCATATCAGGCTAAGCATGGTACCTTACTGCTGTCCTAATGGAATAATGTAAGACCCTATGTCCAGTTCCTGAAGATCATTTAAAACTCTGAGTTCTGAAGAAGAAGTGGTCTCGGTCCTTGGTTGATGTTATCAGGATACAGAATAAGCAAAGTCTCTCACTCAACATCCAAAAAATCAGTGAAAATACTGAACATTACCAGACCTAGATAGACCTTTATACAGTTGCCTGTCTTATCAGTGATCTGTGGGTAACTTTCTCTTAGTTGTTTTTCCAAGCAGTTTTGGAGCACTTTTGTAGTTCTTAATCTTTCCTTCCCATTCCCTTACTTTGCTTGTGAAAAACAGGATCTTTACTACCTCTTTGGTTTCACAAGTCAGTTTGACAAGTTTGCCTTTTGCCATGTTGGCTACTGATATTTTTTTGTTAGCTTTTTGGTATTTAGAAGTAGATTTTTCGAATTTTTTTGTGTGTGTTTTCAGTTTTTTTCAGAAGTGTGAAAGTAACCTGCTTGTCTGTAATGACATGGCTTGTCCTTCCCTTCTCCAGCTATTAAATATCAGTACCACTTCAACCTTTTTCTGTTCTGTTACCTGAATTATTTAAGTTCTCAGCAGCTAGTACTTAAATACTCGTGAATGCTGGAAGGAAGCCCATATAACTCTGCACATTTTTAAAACCTCTCATGTTTTAAGGATTCACTGACCTATTCCTTCTCTACTTAAAACTTGAATCTTAGTCATAGTTATTAATTGTACAGAACTTGATGATACTAGTGGAATTTAAGAAAGAAAATAAAAGTTTTAAGCATTTCATCCTTCTTGGTACCAATCACTAATAGCTTTCTTCTCTCTCTTGAGCAGAAAGTTGAGCCTGTCCCTGATTATTCTCTTGTTACTAATACACTTGTAATTTTTTCATTTTTCTTGATAGTTGCATTCCAGTTTGTTCTGAGTACTTTGTGTACTGATTGTACTCTGCTAGGCTCCAGGTGGGGGGAGAATTGACATATTTGATAGATTTTTAAATGGGATTTGTTTGGGGACATTATTAATAGCATTTGTAATGAGGAAAGTTTGTTGTTTTGTTTTGTTTTGCTTTGTTTTTTTGAGGCATTTTTACTCCTGAACAGCACTTACGGTTTTTGGAATTTTATAAGAAACTTTCCACACTGGGTTTACAGCAGGAGAATGGACACAATGATAATCAACTACAACTTCAAACTCTGGAACAGGAAAAGAAGTATATTTCAGTGAGGAAGAACTGTGCTTACAATTTCCCAGTAAGTAACATTAAGTTAAGGTTAAATAATTTGTGTCTTGCATATAGTTTACTAAATAGGACTGCATGAGTGATAGAGAAGTTATTCCCAAATTGTTCATTATTAGCTAGGTCCTGCACAGTTCAAGTTAATGAGGTTGTCCAAAAGAGTTACCTGGAAAGATTACTCTTTGCAATGCCTCAGAAAGTTATTGGCAAGTTTTGGCTGAGCGAATGCTGTTCTAAGAGGTTACTTTGTCTTGTTATTTTCTAAACATTTTCTCCAAATTCTGAAGCACAAAGGCTTCAAGAAAATGGCTGCAAAACAGTCCCCAGTTTCAAACCACCTAGAGCTACACTTTTGCATTCGCTGTGTGTGTCTGGTCATTCCAGGGAGTTGAAGATTGAATCGGAGTGGTTGGATTCATGTTTTAGTCATGTTCAGAAAGTCTTTTCAATTTTATGTGAGGTCTTTAAATATACCAGTCATGTTTCTGTAAATCTACTTTGTATTTTGACATTCTGCATTTGTATTCAAATAAAATGTGTTTGCACTAAGAGCCGGTAGACAGCTATTTTTATTCCACCTTTTAAAGACAAGGACTCTGTGTGTAGGTAGACATCTCTTGGCTTATTTGAGCAAAACCAAGGTATATACACACACAATCATGTTGAAATTCAGATTCTTGCTTTGCTGCTTGCTAAACTGTTCTCTGTTTTTGAAGTATCCAGTTGCAGCTTTCACTAGTGTACAGAAACGTTAACAATATTTATAAAAATAAGGTTTATATCTCATGGTTTTAGTCTATGTTATAAGAAAAAAGCCTGCAACATGTCTGGAAGATAATGTAAATTCAGTTCAGTTTTCAGCTCCAGATTTCGTCTGATGCCTGTGCTTTAACAAGGACATCAAAAACTCCACACTTACTCCTTAAAATAACAACCTGTTTTCTCTCAAGTTCATCTGATAATCTCTGGTAGAGTGGTCCTTCAGCTGTATAGTTAATAAAGGACATTATCTTCCCACAGGCCATGATTGTTTTTGTGGATCCAAAGAACTTCCATTTAGAACTGTATTCTATATTCTTTTGCCTTTGTCATGACCCTGAAGTTCCTGTCAGATATACTATGGCCATAAGCTTCTTTGAGGTAAGTCTACAATGGTTCTTTGTTACCACTTAGGTGGTTTTATTTTATTTAGTTTTTAATTTAGGCTTACAGCTTACTGGTGTATGTTGGTTTTCTGTGAGGGATGTTTATGTGGAACAAATCTAAGTTAAATGCTCAATTTAATATGAAACTACTTGGAAATTTATGCAGATGTAAAAGCATATATGCTCTTATAATTCCATTCAGTTTATGTAAATTCTACTCAGTTATTTTTATAAAAGTTAAAAAATGTACAAGTGCATAGGTGATATTAGCTATGTGGGGTGGATTCCAGAAATTAGGATACTATCTCCTGAATATAGAAGCCCATACAGGAAAATCTTCAAGGTTTTCAAAGTCTTGTACTGAGAATCCTTGTGTTTCAGTCCTTGAGCTTGGCTTTTGTCCCATTTTGTTGCTGGGGAAATTGGTAAATTAAGCAGTTTGCAGAAAATATTTAAGAAACTAGTAGAGGCACAAATGGCTTTGTTTCCACTGTTGTAAGAAAGATGGATGGATTTCCAGTTATCATTACCTGTTGGTACCTTCTTTTAGTGAATGATAATCCAACATAATTGTTGAAATTGTAAAATTTATATCTAATTCTACATAGTATTTTTTGTGAGATGTATAACACTATTAAGGTACTGCCTGAATATAAGCAAAGTATTTTAGTTCATTTAAAAAAACCTGTAAAATGACACCGTGGTCTGAATGTACATTTATTCTCATTGATTTAATTTTAACAGCATAACTAGGCAACCACGTGACAACCAAAAATGAGTAATTTATGGTATTCACTGTTAGGTGGGTCATTTCTTTAAAAAAATAAGATCACTGTAGCCATTTCCTTAAAGCTTCATCTTGATTGGAAGTAAGCTTTTATTTTCACTTGGCTTATGTAAATAAAAATTTAAAACCACCATCTAAATATTCCTTATGGCAAAAAATCTCATTTCTCAAGTTTTGTCTCGTGTTTGCTTTTTAACAGTGTGGAGATGGACTGTTAGTGTTTTTTAGAAATTTACATGAGACTTGTGAGTCACAGTCAAAAACTCCAAAGTAAGGAGTAAAAACTTTAGAAGGAGAGATTGGGGAAACCTAAATCCAGGCTAAGCCAATTTTTACATTTTATCTTTTGTAAATTATACGCAGGCTGACTGGTAACTCTCCTAAGGCACATGATGTACAACATTTGAATATTCCATGAGGAATTTTTCTAGCCTTGCAGTACAGCCTTAAATATTTTTGGAAAATGTGAAATAGAGTTAATTCTAAAAGCGTGTTTCATAGTTAGATAACAGACCTGTTTCTTGACTCATATTCTTTACGTAAGCGTATTTTTAATGTGATCAGTGGGAAAGCACACAACTTTAGGAGACTGATATTAACAAATTTTTCTGCATCCTTTCTTCAGGGTTGCTGTAAAATAAATATGTGTTGTTGTGACTAAACTAAAGAATGTTTCACCTTGCTATCTTACTGTCATTTTTTAGGTTGCTAAGCTTTTAAATTCTGATGTGTATACAATACATAAAGAACTGGTTGCGTTATTACAGGATGAGTCACTGGAGGTAATACATTTTTATTGGAACTTTCTTTTCCTTGTTACATTTGAGGCAGATTATCTTCATGTTTAATAACTCTGCTGTAAGACAGTAGAGTAACAATTTGAAATGATCAAAAGCTTTTACTTTTGTTTCACAGACGCTGTATAAAGACGACAGCCTTCTGTGAATAAAAAGGAGGAAAATAGGGAGATGTTTGAATTTAGTAGACCCACACTGAATTTATTAGCTTTTAAAATATTAATTCTAAATAGTTTTAATTGCTGTATTATTTATTACCTTACAAACTCTGGAAAGTTTTGGTTTTCGTACTGTATTAAAGTAATAGTTGATAGTATTCAAGGTTTTTGCTTTGTTTTATTTTCATTCTCCAATGGAAAAGGAGATGAAGAGAGTTGTGTGTGATTCAAAGATCAAGATTTATAAGAAAGAGTTTTGGCCTAAGGCAACCTGCATAAGACATGAATCACTTAGCTATATTGCAGTCAACATAGTGAGACTGTGCTAGATTGAAAAAAGACAAATATTTATGAAAAAGCACCATTTCCTCTGATACTGGTTACTCCAATACTTGACCTTTTTTGTTTTCTATGAGGAGCTTTGCATATGGCATGGAAAAATGAGTTCTGTATTCAGGTGCTCCTTTTTCTTTCAGTACCTTTTGTTAGATGTATTCAAGGAAATTAAAAGTGTTCATAGAATATCTACTTACAATTTATGAAATTCTGACCGATATTAGAAGATTTCTCAAGATGAACACCTGAAAGTTGAGACTTTAAAGCAGCTGGTGATTTTGAAAAATTCCTTGTTTTGATCCCTGTATGTTTATTATATGAATAATAACAAATATTTTGAACTTTATCATATATACATTATGAATTGTTGCAAAGAATGTTTAATTCATACTTTTCTAGTCAAGTTCCAAGTCTCACAACATTTGAAAGGAAGGTTAGTCTGTTAATGTAAGCTATATATTCTGTTTTTTCAATCAACTGCATTTTTTCTTAACACAGGAAAAATGGCTTTAAGATTACAAACATAAAAAAGGATGTTTTTGTTGAGGCTCTTAACTACTGCTGAAATATAGCTCTTTCTTAAGGATTACTCTTCATGCTAAAATACTGTATGCTGTGGATAGTCTAGAAAATTGTCTGATCACATAAACCAAAACTGAGACCTGTAGTACTTATATTACTTACTATATTAAAATAACAGTTTTAAATCTCAGTCCTCATCAATGCAACGGCAGTACTTCTCCTTTTTGTTTTTTTTTTTTCAACATGAGAGAGCAGTAACATAAGAGATGTCAGCAGGGATATGGTGGTGAGAATTAAAAATGGATTCGGGTTAATTTACAGACATCTTTCATGCAGCCTTTCTTTAAATAGGTGTTAGATGCCCTAGTAGGTCACCTTCCTGAAATCCTTGAACTAATGGCTAACAGAGGAGAAAACAATGGATCAGAAAGCAAGGTGGGTATTCTCATGGTGGGTTTTTTTTATTGCCTTTCTAAATGAAGGTAATAGCAAAGTTTAGATACATTTGATATGAAGAGGCTTTCATGAGTAGTTTCTGCTTTGGAGAAATATGAAGTTTTTGTTGGTTTTTTGTGGGTTTTTTTTTGATTGATGACTTTATAAACTGTACAATTAAAAAGCAGTATTGAAAGATAAGACTTAATGTAAAAATGAACAGTTTATCCATGTACTTTTTCTAATTAACCACACTTAAGTGAAAACAAAACTTAGTTTCATGCTGAAGGAGTGATAGCTAATACTGAATTTCAAATCCTTTTATATTGATGTGTTAACTGCCCATGGTTGCCATTTTCAGGCACAACTTCTGCTAGAAAGAACTCTGTTTCATGAAGCAAAGGCATTGAATTAGGATTTAAGAGATCTGTATTCAGCTCCCAACTTTTCTAATTTAATCACATGTGGCTCTGGATGATGGTTTATTCTGTGACTCCTCACCTGTAAGGTGGAACAGAAAAGAAAATTTCTTGCTTCAAGATGCTGTTTTGAGCATACTTCCTCAGCATATGGATAAATTGAGATATTGCAACAGTATAAGCACCAAATCCATTTTTTTTCTTGTATGAACAGAAGTTGGGAATGTAGTTTAAGATTTGAATTTGTCAGATGTTTACAGCTGTAGATATATATAACATACAGCAAATGCAATGTCAAGTGTGGCAGTCTATTTAATTTTTCTTAGTGCTAAAGAGAATTTAGGTTGGCTAATGTAATTATTTACCTTCTAATGAGAAAAGGTGTATAATTCCTACTAAAATTATATTGGGAAGAGAAAACAATAACTTCAGAGATTAGGAGGATAGAAGAAAAATGGGTTTAATTTGGTTTGAGAAAGAGAAGACTGAGGATAGTTGGTGTAATGGTCTTCATATGTGTAAAAGGGTATTACAAAGAGAATAGTGCTTAGTTTTGCTTTGTCAGGAGAGGGGTTGGAGATGAAAATGTGTTTGTTAAGTACTGGAATAGCTTTTGGACTACTTAAGTGGAATTTACTGCTTAAACCTTCATTACATTTTGTTACTTTTTTTTTAAGAACAAGTTAAACTAGTATCTACTGGAAATGGTCACAGTTGATCCTGTCTGAGCAGAAGTTAATTGACCTCTTAAAATCTCTTCACTTCTTATATTGTTGTGATGCGCTTTTTAAGCATAGTAACATGATACAAAGCTAGACAATGTAAAATTAATGTCTGCATTTCTGTTTCTAGTTACTCTCTATTCCTGACTTGATTCCTGCATTAACAACAGCAGAACAGAGAGCAGCAACTTCATTAAAATGGAGAACTCACGAGAAGTTACTACAAAAATATGCATGTCTCCCTCATATCATATCAAGTGATCAGATTTATTACCGTTTTCTTCACAGAATGTTGACAATCATTTTGACAAATGTGAGCCCACCTGTCACTTTCTCATTGTTTTTTATTAGTTTATGCTAGTTAGAACAATGACCACCAGATATTTGCTGTGTAGTACTTCATATGTTATATTGATCTTAAAGTACTATTTTTCATTGCATATGGTTTATCAAACTGTGTTTTTTAATAAAGTCTGAATTTACTCTGAAAACTTCCTGCTATCTGAGGAGCAAAATTTGGATTGACAGTTTGTTGTGGTTTGCCTCCTACCCTTTTTTCCTTTCCTTGTGCTCATTATCAGTTTATTTCTAGTTAAATCCAAACTTTTTCCTCTGAGATATGCCTTCTTTATCCTGATTCCATACAGTACTTTATATTGAGTTTGTTCTTTATGAAAGAACACTGTATTCCTAAAATAAATGGTCATTTAGAGCTACTAGTCTGAAATTTTACTGAGTTAATTCAAAAATAAAACTGTCTTTTAAGTTTTATTTTCTGACATCTGCAATACAGAAGGTGCTTATGAAACAGTTGAATATACAACTTGGACAGAAGAAATAAAGAAGTAGATGTCACATGAATTGGCTGAACTTCCTTATTCTCCCTGACATTATGAGAATTATTTCAAAATCTATAAAGTTAGGCTACTTTTTAGCTTTTTTTTTTTGTACTTCTAGAATTTTTTATATGTTTTGAATCATACTCTTTCAAATATGAGTAATTGTGTTCCCTTTATTTCTTTCAAGAATGTCCTGCCAGTCCAAAAAGCAGCTGCTCGAACTCTCTGCGTTTATTTGCGTTACAATCGCAAACAAGAACAGAGGCATGAGGTTATTCAGAAACTGATTGAACGTAAGATAATTTTTCCTTGATTACTTAGAGATGCACGTTAGTTTTGACTGCAGATCTATTTTTAGTTATATTTATTCAGTGAAATTTCCTTCTGTCACTGGAGGGATTACACTTGGAAGACATTCAGTTGCTCATATTATCACCAGGCAAAATGTACTGTGCATATGTGAGGACTGTATCTGAAGCTGATGTAAAGGGATTGGGAAAGAGGCATTGTAGGAAATTGATAATATACTCAGAACCCTCCAACCCTACTTCTTGTACCCTGAATTGCTAAGCTGTAGGTGTACCAATATACAAAGAAGAATTCCTCTATAAAAGTAAAATTGTCTAGAGGCTTCAGCATAAGAAGTGCTGAATAAATCTCAGAAATTAATGTAGTTAGTCATCTTAAGTTGACTTTTTGGTGTATGCTATGGGTTTTAAAGATAGGTTAGAAGTTTTAACAGTTACCATTAGCATTCCTTAATGCTATTAGTAATTTTGATATACCCGTGACATAGTTTGAAAGGCATACAGGTCTTTCTTTGTTTAACACAGTAGCTAGGTCAATTGCTATTTTTACTTTTTCAAGTCTAACTGACAGAAATGGCCATTGAATTCAGAATGTTAGTTTTTCACTAAAAGAGAGTTGAGGTAGGCTGAGAAGTTGTGCCTTTTGATGTGCATGTTTGTTATCTTCGAGTCAAAGGTTAACCTGTGAAATGTTTTCTATCTGACACTGAAAAATTGGTAGATAATATCTGTGGATTTTTATTTTTCAGAACTGGGCCAAGGAAAAAGTTACTGGAACAGACTTCGTTTTTTAGATACTTGTGAATTCATTATGGAACTGTTTTCAAAATCATTCTTTTGTAAATACTTCTTTTTACCTGTGCTTGAACTTACACATGATCCAGTGGCAAATGTGAGGTATGAAGAATACATAGCAGTGTACAGGAAAAAAAAAAGCTTTAAATAATACATTAAGAAATACTGTTAGAGGGTTTATGACTTGTTTAAATAATGGGACTTGAGGGAAAAAGTAAAGATCCTTCAGGATGACTGGTATTAAAGGTGTAAGGGAGTATGGGAATGATGTTAGAAAACCACAGAAGCAGATTAGTCTGAGTGTTTGGGGGACTGATCAAAAGCCTTAGGGTTTGGGAGTGAAGGGAGCAATGAGACAGAGGAAGCAGCGATAGATCAAAAGAAATGCTGATTCATGGGTGTAGGGAGAGAACATAACTTCAGTCTCCATTGGTTTCCATGCATTTCACTGTCACTATATGCAAAGTGAAACACTCAAGAAATTCTTTCAGTGGTGTGAGTTTAACAAGTTATAACAGGTTTTACCTTATGTAAAAGAGTATCTACTTCGTTAATAAAGAAAATTGAAAAAGAATAGAGTAATATAATGGAAATTAGGATGTTATTCATATTTATATGGTGTTTTTTTCTGTTATTTTTGTAGTAATTTTTTCCCTTGTTTTCTAAACATATAGGGACCTGGCAGTTATTACCATTAAGAAAATAGATCTTTTTTTTTTTTTGTCACATATTTTATGTGATTTTATGCTTTTAATCTTGTTTCTGACATGTCATTCATGTTGTCATCATTAACATATCTGAACATCTAATAATAGTGCACAGATTTACATAAGCATAATTTGCACATACATGTGTGCATTCATTGAGCTTCACTGCATACCGTGTATTACCAAGTGAAACTGTTTAAATAGACACTCTCTTGGTATAACCACGACATCTAAACTCAGCAGGATCCCAAAAATTAAGCCATTTATTGCACATAGCTTAACATTTGTGTCTCATGTCATTAAGAGAATTATATTAAAACAATAAACCAAATTTTTATATAATCTGAAGTAGCTTAGTGCTTTTAACAAATATTTTAATTAAAAGCTCTATTGATTCAATATAAAAATTTAATGGAAACTTGAAGCAACTTGCAATCCCTTAGCTGACATTAAAATTCATTTTGTCATAAGTATTTTCTGGATTTTTCTCTAACTCCTTTTACAAAAGGAGTAGTCTGCAGTGGAGTGAAGTTTAGAGGTTAGTCATAGTTGTTAGCTAATGGTTTTAAAACAAACTTAGGGAGATATTCTGGCTTTCTAGTGTGGTGTAACTCTGTAATGGGAAATAGTGAAAGTTGAAATGTTGTGAAGGTATAAAAACGGTAAGATGAATTAATGTAAGAAATCTTTTTGAATGTTTATGATCACAAAGTTACCGTCTCTGGCACAGGAATGTTTCTGATCAGAAGACAGTGGACTCTTGAGAACAGCAGAGCATCCTGCCATGTATTTTTCTTGTACCAGCTCCCTCAGCACCCTCGAGTGGATTCTAAACCGTCCCATAGATTTGCATGTCTAAGTGGTGTAGCAGGTCACTGACCATTTCCCCTTGGATTATGGGGGCTTCATTCTGCTCCCCATTCCTGTCTTCCAGCTTAGGGGGTTGAGTTCCCCGAGGGCAGTTTCAGTCCTTAGGACAGGACAGTCATAGTTAAATTCACCTAAGTACTTCATGCCATACAGATTCAAAGCAGGCGAAGTTGAGCTTCACAGGGGCGCTCTACTGTCAGATAAAATGTATCCACAGTGTGTGTGAGCAGCAATGTATTAAGTTTGAAGTTTCTCTTCTTTGTTATTTTATATGAATACTTTTTCTCTCTGAATTTACTGTATTTAAAATTATTTCCTCAGTCAGTAGAGCAGCTTGCAGCTTCTTACCCACTTTGTCCACCCCTTCCATTGCCTTGAGGGATGCTTTTTGGGCCTTTTTCTAGGCTGATTAAACTCACTAAGCCATCAGAAAACTGTTCAGTTTTTCTACCCTCTCCCTCTCAAGTAAGTTAGTCTCCTGTTAGATTAGTCAGTTGAAGGTATAGCTGACTGAGCTGATGAAAGGTCCAGTCAGAAGCAGAACCAACACAAGCAGAGGCAACCTCTAGATAGAAACAGGAGGACAGGGTAGGGGAAAGAAGGGCTTCCTCTTTTTAGGACCCAGTTAATAGTTAAATCCTTTTAATCTGTTCAATACATCTTCATCCTTGCAGTTGTATGGAATTGCGGTAACATGATTTTAGGTGAGATTTGGGTTTCTTTGTCACAATGGACCAGATTTCCAGGTTATTTAGGTAACTGATTAATTAGGTGTGTAGAACATTCAGGAAATCCAGAGGTCTGCTTATTTTTCTAGATTAAAAAAAAAAACCCAACCAAAGACATTATGGACTTCAAGATAGAGGACTGTAGTCCTGGTCTGTGGTGAAGTTTTTGAAAATACTACAGTATGTCTGGAAACAACACATAAGCAACAATCAATTCTGAAAAATAAGAGCTATTAAATATTTTGTGTCAAGTGCTAGCATGCAATACGTTGAGAAATGAATAATATTTATTAAACATCTGCATCAAAAAGAGAATATTTACTTTTTTTTATTATTTTGGTAGAATGAAGCTATGCTATTTGTTGCCAAAAGTTAAATCTACTCTGAAGATTCCCACTGATAAACATTTACTTCAGCAGTTGGAATTATGTATAAGGAAACTTCTGTGTCAAGAGAAAGACAAAGATGTCTTGACTATTGTAAAAAGAGTAAGCATTTCTCTTTTCCAGCAGCGTTTTGTCTTGGGGGTAATCATTAAAAGTTAAGATGAATAGCGTTATGCTTTTTTTTGATTTCTTAATGTAAGAACAGGAGATTAAAAAATTCTACTGTCTATTATGAAATTTTGAACAATTAAACGATGATGTGGTATAGTACATTCTGTGAAATTTAGTAGCTTTGGTGTTTCCTTGGTTACTTACATTGCAGTTATTTTCTAGTAACTGAGATTCAGGATTTTGGCTCAATGACCATTTATGAAGAAATAGCAGATGACTAGAGACAGGATTAAATGTTGATCCTAGTAAAACTGATTGGGTCTTTGAGATAGTGATATCTTGTTAATCTATATTATACAGTATACAGGTAAAGCATTGCAGGATTTTGAAAAGTTACAAATGTCTTTGTAATGTGAATATTCATAAAAAGTACATCTTTAAGGAATGCCCATACACTCAAATTTAGAAACCATGAAGTGAAATAGCTAAAGTAGGTGGCTTCCTTACAGGGCCAGTCTGCAGCAGAGATTGGGTAAACACCTGCATGGAGCCTTCTGAGTTATTCACAGATTCCTGAGTTGTTCTTTTTCAGTTTAGTTTCCTAAGCCTGTGCTCTAACCATTTGTGCTTCAGTGCTTGAGTATATTTTGAGTTTCATATAGATATTGTATAATTTTATTCATTGTGAGTCTCAGCAGGGCTCTGGGAATACACTCTGACAGTATTTAACTGCATTGTAGCACAAAAATAAAAGCATAGGCTTCAAATATTTAAGAAGAAAAGACATTTTTTTTCTTTGAAAGCATGACATGCTCTTGAGTAATAGTAAATAATGTTTTAATTTTCTTTATAGACAGTGTTAGAATTGGACAGAATGGAGATCTCTGTAGATTCTGTAAGTACTTACTAACTTTAATACTTACCAACTACTTTAAATTTCCATTTTCATATAGTGATTTTTTTTATTTTTATTGATTTTATTTTGAAGTTTCAGAAAAGATTTTATGAAAATGATTTATTGGATCAAGAAAAAGAGAGACAAGAGCATCTCCTTTTGGAAATGGTATATTTTATCAGTACACTGTCATTTGTTTAACAGATTGTAGCTAAATATTAATGAAGCAATAATTTTAAGGTAGGGGAAATTAATACTAAGGAGAGACCTGGTAGTTTCACAATCTGTATGTGGTTTCATTTTACACTTTACAATAAGATTAAGTCCTTCAAAGTAACATATAACATCCTTTTATAACATCCTTTTCTTTACTGGCTAAATTCTGCTGTATCAATTAGAAAGGCAAACTGGAGTTTCTTGAAAAATACCATGCATAACATAATAAACTGATACTGGAACACCTCAGAATTCACATACAGCTTCCCTAGGCAAAGAAATTAATGTCCTAACTTCTTTAGTCCCAAGGAGGCTGAAGGAAGCTCTGTCTGTTGCAGGCTTTCTAGTTAGCCAGAAAAAAAAAGAAAAGCAAAAGCTGCAGTAGGGACTTCACTACATAGTTTACATCTTCACCACGTACTACATTTTCGCAGAGCCAGGATTAGATTACTGCAGTCCTCTGTGTCCTCTGTTCTGCTGCCTCCTCTCTAGCCCGAGGTGGGAGAAGCTAAGAAGCTGATAGGATTTAGAAGATCCTGAATTTCCTTAACATGGTTCCTTTGACCTGTAGTAAATGAACTTCTCTGTAGAGAACCAGAACAGATTCAAGACTGCCCAAACAATGTAATTGTTTCGTACATTTGTGGTCCACTTTGATTTCAGTAGGTCCTGCTGATCTTCTCTTGGACAGCTGATTTACTCAGTAAATATATCTGACTTATGTACTTCCTGCCTCCTCCCGTTATCTCCAGACAATAGTTCAACCTCATTCTCAGGACCTGCATACACATATTCAAAGTCTTGAACTTAGCTTTAGCAGTCTTCAGGTGGATACAGCAAATACTTTTACAGTGAAAGCATTTGTGGTGGTGGAAAATAGCCTCTGGTGTGCTCTGTGTTACTGTGTATTGTATGATAACACTGATTTTCACACTGTTTCTACAGCTACGCTTTAAAAGATCACCTGAATTCCTATGATATAGTCCACTGATAGGGGCAAACCTTCTGTATCACAAAGGCCTCATTAAGCATTGTCTGTGACAGGCATGCTTTTGGGGGACGTGAGGTGCACACAGCAAATTGCGACATGTTGCAGTCCTGAACAGATGAAGAGCCCACTTAAATGTATCTGACTGCTAAAGATTTAATACTGAATATGTTAATAAATTTCCTTAATTTTAGTAGACTTTGTAGAAACTCTATTGTAGAAACCTTGACTGGAATTAATTACCTCTTCTTTTTTTTTATTAACTTGGGTAGTAATTAGAGTGACATGAAAAAAAATGGAGTAGAACTATTATGGTTCACTTAACACTTTTTATTTATGAAGATGATACAGAAAACAAGCTAATATTTTATAGTTTTTTGAAGCTGGAGTGATATCTATTCACCAAATGGAAGATAATTCAAAGGCTAGCTAATACTACAGAGGGGCAAATTAATTCCATGAACCTGAACAATTTTACATAGCTGATTTTGTTTTGCATAAAGATATACCAACTGCACATGTTAGTTTCAGACCTTTATAATGTTTGAGTAGATGACACACCGTAGCATTTGAGAAAAACATTTTCACTGAATTGTATTTTCATTGAATTAAAAATATTGCCAGTTCTAATTTCAGTGTATTTGTGTAACAGAAAATTATTCCATTGCCAGCTGACAATTTCTGTATCTTTTTAAATATAAAGAAACCCAAAGGCCAGGCATTATTTTAATAATAAGTTATAGATTTGAACTTCAACTCTCTTTTTATAGAGTGTGATTTTTATGAGATATGTAGCCTGATTTCATTCTGTACTGTTTAATTGGTTCTCTGGATATTCACAGGGGTTGTACTACTAGTAGGAGAGAATGAACTGTTATCTCAGTGATTTGGAAGCAATCCCTTGTTGAAACACAATTTATTTATTTTTTCCTGAGTAATATTCAAGAAAATTATTCATTTTTTTAGGAACAATTAGAAAAAGAGAAGCAGCAAACTGAAAAAAGATCTACAAATATTAATGATAAAATATTTGAAAAGAAGCGTAAGTTTATTTATTTGTGTATATATTGTTCGTGCATGCCTTACTCTTCTACAAAAGTAGTAGAGAAAGGAGGAGAAATGAGATGCTTTATACCCTACACAGAGTTTAGGGAAGTGGCAATAAAATTTGCTTCGATATATTTCTAAAGTTATTTATGAAAACTGGCCGCATTATATATTATATATTATATATAATAATATGTATATTATTTTGGCTTTATTAATATAATACATTACAATTTTAATTCTCTGTTATTTTTCATTTTGGCATGTAAGGCAAGGACTCTTCTGTGGTATTTCTGAAGTGTTAGTAGCGCTGGGTTTGATATTTATTACTGTTTGTCCTGGAACTGTGATATGTTACGTCCTCTCTTTTATATAAATCTAAGTCTTAAGACAGAAGTGATTATACTGGACTTTTTTTTTTGTAGGTAGAGACAGTAAAGCATCATCAGTGTTGGCAAAAAGTATCAATCTCTCTGTTCCGGGAAGCTCTTCTGGTACATCAGCAGGTTAGAACTGTTTTATAAACTGTCCTAGAATGCTTTGATCTCATATCAGCAGATCAAACCTAAAGCTGCTGTGGACAACTGTGGACCAAAGTTTCACCTACTATACAAAGGAAAACATTCCACTCCTAGAAGTGAATGTGTTTTCTGTGGGGTTTAAGGTTTTTTTCATTCCTTAGTGTATAAATAGTGACCCAGGGTGTTTTTTTCATTATTAAAGTATTTAATTCCATTTCTTCAGCTACTATGGGTTGACAGAAAATTATATGTAAAAGTGTTCTTAATTATTGAGGAAATGCAATGATATTCATATTAAAAAGTATTTGCTCTTACTAATTTTAGGCAAAGAAGAAAAAAAATCCAAGTTGGTTCGAAGCCAGTCTTTCAGTACTCAAGCACTGCATCCAAAATACAGCAACATAGACAAGTGTCCTAAGTATCTTTATTATCTTCATTGCTTACCTTATAGGCAACTGTTTACTAATAGAAAGCTGTTACGAAATTATATGCACATGAATCTATGAAAGTAATGATGTGCTCCCTGAATTGTGATCTAAATTTTCAACTTTCTCTTTAATTGATTAGCTGAGGGAAGAAATACCATCTAAGGCATGCTGAAGACTACAAAGTTTTGTGAATTCTTTTGAAGTTAATATATTATTGTCACCTTCTGTCATATATTAAAAATAATTTTCAGTATGAACCGCTAAATCTAATTTTCTACATTATTGAAGAGATTTCAGCATAACTTCCTCATTTAATTTCTTCATATAAACTCAGAAATGTCCTCCAAGATTATTAAACAGCAGTATGATAGAAGTGAGAGGAGCACTTTCTGAAATAAGCAATTTGGTTTTGTTTTGTTTGTTTTTGAAGTAAAAGTTCTGCTACAAGATATACATCTTCAATATCAGGAATTGGAAAAAGCTGTATGTTATCCTTTAGTGGTAAGTAGGTTATTGTATTATATTTTACTTTAGTTTTTTGTGTGGATGTTGAATATGTAGGCCCATTAAACAGGCATATTTTAAGATGTCATTCTACTAAAGACAGCAGAATATAGATATCCAATACACTTGAACATTTAAGTGGTAGTGTAGTTAGTGTGTTTTTCAGGTTCTTCTCTTTCTTTTCTTAAAAATTTACTTAAGATTGCATTTAAAAGTAGTAAAAATAAAATGAGTGTCATGACCCAGTTGGAATTTTGGATATCATAAAAAGATCAGTTTTGCAGTTCTCCCCCACCTATTTTACATAAGAAAAAGGAGTATTACATAAAATTGCTACTGAATTGAGAAAGAGAAACTGCTGTTTGCACTTCTTTCCACTAGAAGTTGAAGAGTTTGGATGATAAAAGATAAGACTGAGATGAATGACTTCGTAGAGGAACCTGTCTTTCCATTCACTACCAATGGCCACTAGACAATTAAATTATATTAAATAGCTACATTTTTAGCAGCTAAAGATTGGCCAAATAAATCCTACTATTTTCATGTATTAAATGTATTAATATTTTCTTAAAAAATATGTATTCTCGTTATTTATTAGGGTTTTTTCTTTTTTCATAAAAATACTTGAAGAAATGTTAAGTTGAAACCATTCCCATCAAATTTTGGATTAGTGCCATAGGAAATATGCCACTATTACCATGGGAAAAAACCAACTCATTCTGTTTACTCTGTGTGTATTTTTTTCCACCAAAATTCTTTGTCTTAGCTGCAACTCTTTATTTCAGATGATTCATTCCGGGCTCTTTCTACTGGTAGTAGTGGGAATGCTGCCTTCCTTTCTAGTCCTTCTTCTCACAACTTATTTAGCTCAGCTGACCAAAAGAACAATGGAAATAAGGAGAGTCAGTCCCGAAGGATGAGCATGTAAGTGGTTAATGAGAGGTTAAACCAAACTTACGGGGAACATTTTCAAAGGGAATTCAAAGGAGCTGTGTAAAATTCAGCCTATATTTATGATACCTCTGCACACAGATTTTGAAATACTAAAATAGCAGGGTAGAAATGTGATGTGTGCAATTATAAGTGTTTCTAAGATGGCATTACCTTCTAATTAGTCTTTCACATTGTTTCTCTTGCACATGTTTGCATTCAGCTGCTAGATTATGGGGAGGGTAGAATGGGACAAAGTGAAGGTTAGTGCCTTTGATATATAATAATTACAGTCACGGTGATTTAGCTGCCTGTAATTGGAGAAATAGAATATAAGTATTTTTAGACTACTTAATTTTTCATTATCCTTCTTTTTATGTGCTTATATAGTTTATCATTATGTAACCATTTAATGATGAATCTTGAGACTTACAATGAACTGGTACTGCTACTTGTTATTAATGCTGCCTTCTTTGCCTTACCTTAGATAATTTAGCCATTTAGATAAATCAAAAATTCAGTGCTAGGCATCTACCCTAGGCTGGTTCTCTCTAAACAGCAGCCTAAACTGTTCAATATTTTGCAAGAACAAAATCAAGAATGTATTTGTTTGCTCCTCTGATAAAACTGTAAGTCTTAGAAGATCACTGTGACACATACTTAGTCAAATCTCTGTAATCTCTGGCAGGAAATTCCCTGCAGATTCCTTTTACACTGTAATTTGTAGGTCTAAATTACTGCCATTGGAGTAATTGTAATTTTGGGTGCTCAAACTTAGACTTTTCTTTGCTAGCAGAGATTTTCATTTGTAGCCAAGGCAGAATGGAGAAGGGAAATGAGCCAGGTGTAGCAAGAAAGCAAGGCTGTTTAGAAAAGTAGTCTTGTGGAATAGAAGCCAAGATAGAAAAGAGGAAACACCTTACACTGCTTTGCCAGATATAAAGAGGAAAAAATAGTGTTATCTCTTGAATGGTCTTTTCTGGTGAATTAAGTATCAATATAAATATATATTTCCACTTCAGTATTTTCACATTCCTTTAAGAAAGCAAACCAAAACATCCCCCCAACTTTACTCACAATTTTAAGTTTATACAATTCGTAAATTGTAAAATAAAGCACTCAAAATTTGAACAAACATGAAAAGAAGTTCTCTGAACAGCATTCATTTGTCTACTTGTATACTTGCATACTTGATGTATGCTGGAGTTTTACCATCTTCACTGTACAAGACAATTTTTTTCTGGAATGAAGTCAAGCTTGTGTAGTCACGTATTGTTTTTAAAATTGCCTTTCTCGGTAGAAAAGGTTGGAAGGTAAGTAGTGAATGAAGATGGACTGTTTGTGTTAAGTGGTTTCACAGTAATTGTACCTTAAGGTGTCAAATCACAGTGCCCTTTCTCTCTGTCTTTGCCAGTGTCTAATGCCTTCATCTTAATAATACCCACAGTACTTCAGACTTTTTATAGGTGACCATTAGGTGGTCACTTATTTCAAAGTGCATTATTTCAAACTTAACAGTTAGATTAGTAGATATGCTGACATTTTCAGATGTCTATAAAGTAAATGGGACATGTATCTTGAGAATGTAAAATGTCACAGAGTGCTACGTAGTTTCAAAAATTAGATGTGCTCAAAACCTCATTTTCTTTCACTATATACCTCTGTCCCCTTGCTTTAAAACCAGAAAATAAGTTTAAATGTGATTTTTTTTTTTTTAGCAATCATTGTAGGAATTCCAATTACTCATATGTCTCACAAGGATTTGGGGAAACTAAATGTGTTAATATTCACAAAGCAGTTAGATGCCAAGGTTAATTAAACATATTTTTTACATCATGTAAAACTTTTCCAGATTTCAAAGGTTTTTGTATCTGTCACTTAAAAGAAAACCAATATCTTTTGCTTGAATACAAAGGGACAGAAAAAGGCTCACACAGGGCAGTTTACACCTTTGTCTTCAGGCAGGAGAGTGGAATGTAAGAGACTCGCCCAGCTTCAAGTCTCAAGGTACCCTTCCCACATGAATTCCTTAACAGCAGAGTATTTGAAAGTTTGTATCTGATCAAACACAAAGATCTGGATGCTTTCCCTGGTTCAGAAAGTCTCTAAACTGCATGGTATCAGATGCCAATAGGATATACTAGGGGAAGACAAACGTTTTTGGAGAAAGAAGAGGAGGCTTAGGATGGCCTACATTTAGTTCTGAATAAGAGTTTTTCTTGAGGGAAAACACATCTCTCAAGTTGATATAATGTCTGCTGAGCTGTAGATTAATTTTCTCCTTTGTAATCTGGCCCAATACTTAATTATTTTTATAAGAAAGTGGAGCAGCTCTATAAGGAGGTATTAAGAGATACAGATAAAGGAATGTTGGGCAGTAAATGCGTTCATTTGCATAACCTCATTAACCACAAAAATCTTTGAGTGTACCTTTTAACTTTCTTTTGTTCAGAAAGTCAGTCCTGGTGCTAAATATACACATACTAAAATAAATAAACTCAAACATACCAGTTTCAAGGAAACATTATTTTCCAAGTTGAAGGATGGATAAAACTGATATCCAAATATATAAGCAGTTGATGGAAATGACTCTGAGAGGAGAATCTGAAAATTGTATAATGAGAAGTACAATAGAATAGGTGCTCATGAATGAGTGTCACTTTCAGTGAACTCACTCAGGGAGAAAACTTTGAGAAAATAATAATCGAGTATATATTTAGACTGCATCGTCATGTAATTTACATATGTGCTGGTTAAACTTTGCACTGACCATCTCATCCTAATTCTGGCAAATCCTAACTTTGGGTTTGCTGGCTCTGCAAGCTGAATAAGAGAACTTCTAATATGTTGCTTTTTCTAAGTAATTAGGTGTGTTATGTGGGCAGTAACACATTGTTTAATAATTCAAATATAAACAGATATAATTAATGATTCTTAGTTCAAAGTGATGTATGTTTGGATAACATATTGTCTAATTGCTTAAGCATAATATTTTCCATAAAATTGCTCTACTGAATATTGGCAAATGTTCACTTCTGACAATACAGTGCAGTTTGCAAGGATGAAGAATTTCTGATTTCATATATGATGATGCTCCAGGAATTTTTCAAAACTCAGAGTGACTTTGATGGAGAACTGAGGTCTTCACTTACCATATTCAGGAATTCAAACATGTGGTTTGTTCCATTTCAGATATGTGTGAAAATAAGGTATATTCAAGAAAAAAATATCAGTACATCATGTTCCAGTGCTCACAAGACAGGAGAGTGACCATTAGCATTGGTGTAATTTGCTAGACCTTAGGTAATAGTAAGGCAATAGAAAATGAAAGAATTACACTAAAGATGCACCCATATAACTTAATGGTGGAATCACAAAGAGGATCAATCTCTGCTTTAAGTACCTTATGGAATAGGAAGAATCACAAGGAGTACTGGTTGAGTATTTTGTCCCACAAGTGATCTTACTTCAGTCACTTTGCAGAGCAGACATGCTTTTCTGACTTGCACTTGAAGAGTTGCCAGTTAGATCATGAATCATCCTAGTGCAGACACTGACATGAATCCTGAACACTGCATTCTGTCAAGCAGTCCAATCTTGTATCATTGTGCTGTGTAGCTTTATTATATTCTTTTGAATGTTTTCAGTTTTATTAAATTAGGATAGATATAATCTGTTTTGCTTGAGTTTACATTGCTGTAATATGACTGATTTCAGTATGCAATTGTTTAAAACTATTTAGAAACTTTATAGATTCATCAGTAAAAATATCCACAGCGTATAGACAGCATTTAAGAATCTTGCATCTTACCTATAGACATACAGGTATTGCTTGATTTTATTTCACTTTCAATTAAAACTTTCTTCAAGAATGAGTGGTGTGGGTTTTCTGTTCTGTAAAAAGCAGGAGTAGGTTTATTGTTGCATAGAAATTAATTTTTTAATAATAAATTTATATCAGTATTTTATAAGCTGTCCACAGCTGAACCTTAGGACATCTAATTTTGTTGTGTGACCATATTGTACCACTTATATGTGTAAGTGTGTTAAATACTGTCTTTCATTCAGTCACATAATTGCTTAGGAAGTTGAGCACAAAATGAAATAGTTCTGTCACTGCTCTCCTACAGTTTTAGTTGGTTACTTCCAACTTCTAATCATGTTTTCATCCTGACATTTAAGACGCTTAAGGACTTCTGAGGTCCAGTGGAAGTGGAATGTGTTTTGCATCATATTTTTATGATGAAACTAGTAGGTATCCTGACACTAATATATTATCATACAATATATGCGGATTTTAAATATTCAGCAGTTTTAAAAGGGTGAAACAGATCAATATATTGTGTTATGTGTAAATGATACTGTAAAATATTGATGCAAATTAATATCTCCGCAGAGTTCTAAACGTTGAGCCCCATTCTTTGAAATATTTCTGACCAATACAAACAGTTTTTAATTGACATAGCCACAACTCTGTGAAGCTGAAAACTAGTACATTTAAAGATTAAAAAAATGAAGGCATGAATAATACAGAAACTACCCAGATGACACTGTGGTCAACAGATGACCTAGAAATCACACTGTAATGAGCTCTAAATTTCTCTCTCCTCCCCATCTCCACTTTCCCCAGATTTTATCATGGATCAGGCTGGAGACCTCTGGCATTTTTTGTAGCCATGAGTAGACTGCTTGTAGTGGCTTAACCATCTCACTCAGACAGATCTCTACAGGGCCTTCTGTAGACAACTTAATGGAGAACTTCACCCTTGTTGTGAAGAATGCCCTCAGAATGTGTCCATTTGGCTTTTTTAGTGAGTGCAGTAGAGCAACTAGTAATTTTTAAAGTACAGCAGCTAATAATTATGTTAAAATATTGTGCACATTAACAGTTTGTTATGTTATTTAATAATATAGCAACAACAAATAATGTATATTTCTTCTTTTGTATGAAGAAAAAACAGAAAATCAAACTCCTAGATCATCTGACAGAAAAAAAGAGGGAACCAGAGACTGGTGGAAGCAACGTTCTTGTGAGATAAGTTGGGAGCAGCAGATGGGACTCTCTAATACCTGGAATGAATAAAATACATCCTGCAATGTTAAAACTCTTAAGTAAATTTTTTAAATAAAATTCCAAGCTGTAAAATATGTTCTGATAAACAATATAATGGTTGCAGAATTGTGAAATTATATGAAGTATAACTTCAGCTATGTGCTCTTTACTGCTGTAGCTAAAGTGAAGATTTTGTTTTCTTCTATTATGCCTTTGTAGTTCAAATTCTTGGATTTAGAATGCACATACCCATTATTTAATTGGCTTATCTACAATTTTAGCAACTCTTAGCACACATGTTTTATGCAAGTAATAGAAGGAATTGTTTATGAATATGAAAAAGTAATCCCACATTTTAAAGAATCTGATTTAAGACCAAAGTCCAGAACCATTCATCGGTCTTTAAAAAAACCCATAAACCTTAGAAGCATTGTGCTGTGAATTTGGAGTTAATGCTTTTCCAATTACTCAATTCATAAAAATTCTGTGTAGGTTTCAAAGCAATCTAAAAGCAAATGTCTCCAGATGATGTAAAAAAAAGTTTTATTTCATAAGTTTTGTTGTATAAATACTTGTTTTAATTTTTAGTATTTCAGATTGTATTTTCACTTGAATAATTTATAATAATGAATCTAGTTTTTAATCAGCTGTAATTGCAAGCTATCATGGTTCAGTGAAGTCATCTGCATTTGTTTGTACTAATGCTAATGTTTCTATCAAAATTTATCTGTGGAAAACCATGCAATCCTATTTTAAAAAGTGCTATTTATGCCAGTACTTGAGAGGGAGCCTATGAAGCTATTGTCAGCTTCTCTATTCCAAAATGGAAGCAGCATAACTATATTGATATCAGAAATATGTGGTTTTTAAGATTTATTGGTGTATGATAAAGATCTGATCTGTGTATGCGTATGCGCGTGTGGTTACTTTTTATAATGTAAAAACATGAATGATGATTTACTCAAAATAAAACCTAGGACAATGCTGTACATGCATGTTCTTGAAAAAAATTCTCAGGGCATCTTTTATAATTAAAATAAATAAAGGCATTTACCCATAGAGGGTATTTATTTAAAATAGTAATAGTGCTGGATGTATGCTGTCTTGTGTGAAGTAGAAACTGTGTCTCTGGATTTGGCAGTATTTCACTCTCTGAATTCTTAAGCTTCTTACACTGCAGTTGGATTTACCTGTATTCTGACTTAAGTCACAGACATTGTTTATATTCTGTGGAAACACTTAAGTTTTCAGTTTGCTCTGCAGCCTGGTGTAGGATCTTGTAAATGAGAGATTTCTTTAAAAGTTTCTGCAAGTATTGCAGTGTTTAACATTCACTACTGATATAGATACACAGATGACCTGTGCTGGCTCCTCCTGGGTTCTGCTTTTGTCTCATAATGAAAACAGATACTCTCAGCTCCCCATGGACAACTAACTCATTGTGCCAGCTCCAGCTGCTCACCCGTGGGCCACAGGAGACTGCTCAATCTGTTCTTAGTCTGACTTTTGCTAGGGACCAAACTGAGATCAGCAGTAGCCAGCTGCAGAACAGGACACAAAACTGTGTTTGCCCTTTCAATGCCTTTACTAGAGCAATGCAAAACAGCCAGTAAGTTCAGAAATGAATCTAAGCTCTTTCTCCCCTTATAAGCATGTAATGAGTTCTCTATACAGTCTGTCTTTTTGTTTCATGTCAGCTATCATTTGTTTGTCATTGTTAGCTGATTGACTTATTCAATACTGATAACACGTGCTCCACTCAATAACCCTGTTATGTAATAAATTCTTGCTATGTAATCTTTAAATGCTCTATTTAGACATTTTTTGGACTGGGCAACTTCCTTGTGGAATACCTCTGGTGTCTTGTGCATATTTTCATAAGTCCTTCACAATACAGACCTTCATCCAAGCAGTCTTTTTAGGGGCCACTCACTTCTGGGTTAGTTCTTTTAAACAGCTCTGATGCTTTTGAACCCCTCAAAGCATTGTTTTTACCTGCTGATCACCTCTAGGTCCAGAATAACAGCTGAAGGTCAACTGTACAGTGTAATTGGTTGGTTCTCATATACACCAGCAGCAGGAAGGAGTGATTCTCTTTCTGGGTACATTCATACTGCATTGAGGAGTTAAGTTAGATGTACCTTAGTAGTCTAGTCAGATACCAGAGCCTCCTCCTAAGTCCTTTTGCGAGTGTCTTACCCCAGTGTCTGGGCTGTTGTGGGCAGACATCTAATGGTAACTGAGGTGATTTTTTGAGATTTACCATCTTTATCCTCTAATTTATCTTTTGTATCTTCCCTCGTGGATACATCAGTCCATGTGTGTTTACTGACAGACGTCTTTGAAGCTCCTTGCCAAATGATTTTGAAGACTCTTCTGCTCCCTTTTTGGCAACTATTTTGTGAAGGTTGTATGAGCAAGTAGAATAAGGCTTAGATCTGTTAGTTATATAAAACTAGAAGTAGATTTTTCTGTTGTTTCATACTTTATATATAGGACTCTGCTAATTAAAATGTGATGAATGTTAATATCTTGCACTTCTATTGAAATCACTGCTCTACTTGAATAAAGGGAATTGTATTTAGATCATGGAAATATTTTTCTGTAACATTTTGGGAACATGTTTTGGACTCTAGGATCAACTCCATGAATAGATTTATTCCAATTTTATGGAGCTATGGTTTTTTCCTACCAAAGTCTGTCATAGTTGAGTCATAAAATCCTGTTACATAGCTCACCCTGGTATCTAGATGATATTACAGGCAGAAATTTTGGTTTTAGTAGAGGCCCAGCTTGGTGTTATGAAATAGTACACACATTTTGCACATTCAGAATACCTGAATTCTGAAGGCCATTCATAGGCCAGATTTTCCACATTCAGAATACCTTTTATTTTGTCTTTAATACAGGGAATATTTTCAAAGCAGTTACATCATGTACTCTGAGAAAATGAGGTGATTTGATACTCTGCATAAACACTTTAGAAGAGGTCACACTCACAGGCAATGTAGTAGACTTCTTGACAGAGTCATTGCAATTTTGTCATTTTTAAAGATCTCTAGAGAGAGGCTATAAATTCTGTTTTAGGGCTTGATACTGCGTCTGTTTTTATGTGGTAGAAGTATTCTAACGTTGAAGTCACTAGACTCTTAAGTGTCTTTGGAAAAGAAGATAACATTGAGGAAAATGCAGTGTTTGGGAATATTTTGGCATATGAATCAGGGGGTTTATTCACACCACTAAAATACTGATTTTTGAAAGTTCAGTTCTGTGTTCGGTTGTTATTTTTTGTGGGTTTTTTTCTTTTTAATTTCAGATGTAGATTTTGAAAGTCACATTTTTGCCACTTTGAGCCTTAGTGAATCTAGTTTGTTACTTGGCATTAATAATTGCTAGGATGACCTAGTGCTAACTAGAGAAACAAAACAGGTTTTCACATTTCATATTTCGGTGTCTTTTTATTCTAGTACAAATTAATAAGATAAAAATAATTCCTCTTATCTACCAAAGAATAGACACTGTTACCTTTATTCACATTTTTGTTGGATCAACCACCCTTCCAATGAACAGTAATGTTTTAAAAGTTTCTTCGAAAATCATGAAAAGGAATGGTCGGTCCACTTTGATGACAGGAGGCACCGTGAATGCAATCATTTCTGACCCACTGGCTGCTGCAGCCTCAGTTCCTTCTTCATCCACCTCAATTACTGCCTTTTGAACAACCTGAAGTACAAGGTAGAAATAAATTATGTGACAGAAATGAATATTAACATGAAGAATATTTTTCCAAGTGAGACATTCTGTTGAAGTAGGTTTCTACGAAGGATTAAAGTGAGTAGGTCAGTGCAGTCTCACTCTGCTAGACTGGTAGACCCATGTGCTGTCTGCTTCAGCAGCAAAGATATTAATGCAGCCACCATGCCCACAATACTTTCATTGTGGATGTGAGTTCAGGAGTCATTGTGCTTTTCCACATTTATGAGCATAGACCTCACTTAGAGATTGGGGTTTTTCTTCTTGCAGCTGGTAGCATGAAGCAACCATTGCATTTGTATAGTGCTCTTCTTTGACACCTAACTGTGCAAGGGAGAGTTTCTCAAAAATAGGGAGTGTTTTTATCAGTCAAAAACACTAGCTGGATATGTCATCCACAGTTGATTTTGTGAGAGCTTAGGGAAATGCACCAATCTTGGCGCTTTTTTCTGTATATTTCTAATTTTTTCATTTGGTAGCGCAGATTAAATATGTGCAGCAATGAGGTACAGTCCTGGATTGGTTTGAGGACCTTCCCACTGAAATCACAGCCGGGCAGAATCTGATTCTTTTCCATTTTATTCTTTCAGCCTGAATATATCTCTGAGTGCTTCCTCTATGTTTGGGTCTGTATTGGTGAACTGCTTGGTCAGCTAGTGGATTTCCAACTCCCAAAATCCTAATTCTAGGAATTACTTACATGATCTAGTTAAAGAACTTCACCAGTGTTGAGTTCTCTGCTAAACATTCCTAAGTAATGAATTTAGATTTCATGATCCACAGGAACAGGATGCTCCTTTGGCACTTTGCAGCTGATGCACATACTGTTTCTAATACCAGTTAGTAGCTACTCTTGAAGTGTGATTTTTTCATAACACAATAGAGTTAACTGCTGAGAATCAGTATGAAAGTTATATGATCACGAGGAAGGGTGGAAAAGTGCTGCAGATTACCGTTGTATTTCCCAACAGTGAAATAGTTTATAACAAACTGAAAATCACTGCAATTTTAATCCATTAAGTATTTATTCTTTAGATGTTACATTTTCCCAGAAAGGTTGTTTTGCTAAGCCAGCACAATTTTGAAAACCTACAGGTCAGGCATTAGAGTTTTTGAAACCTGTATAGAGGTGTTTATTATACTACCCTATTAACTGGCCAATCACAAAGGCTTGTATAAGGATTTGGTGTAGGGAGACTTGTAAGAGCAGCACCTGGAGAGTTCTTTCTCATAGGATACAAATACCTGAAGGAAGGATGCAAAGAAGATGGAACCAGGCTCTTCACCTTACGTAAGTTTACAAAGCTACATTTTTAAATCCTGTGTCAGATTAGTATCGTCTGGGTCTTGTTTTCCTCAACTGTTCATAAATTCATCCTGTTTCAGAAATTTTGTTACTTCTACTCTAATGTAATTTGTATTTAGCATTAATTGCATTTTATCTTGTTCCACACACTCCATTCTGAAGGTACAAGTTTCTTTGTGTGGTATATCTTTTATCTCCTTTCTTTGATCATGCTTTTTAATTTTCTATCATCAGCAACTTGTCATTTCTATAGACCAACTGGTTTGTTTTATAAGACATCTCTTGTCACACAGACCTATTCCTCTTGATATTGGTGTGATTGTCAAGTCCTTTGTTTTCCATTTCTTCTGCTTCTCATTCTGCCTCTGTTTTCTATCAGTCTATTGAAATTCATCTTTGCTTTCCCTTAAATTGTGGTACAAAGTAGCTCCTCCTCCTTTTTTTCCTTGGGGTTGTGTTCCTGTCTTTTTGGTCATTCACCGCTCTTGCATTTGCCTGTTTAAAGGATCTTTAAAAGTTCCAGCATATGAAGTAGAACATCCATTTGGGTTGGAATACAGCTATGTTGCACCAGTGCTCTGCTGTGAGATTCTGGTTTTAATTTTCCATGGTATGCAGAAGAATAGACAAGAGTGCTTTGACTTCTCTTTCTCCCTGTTACCTTTTTGAGATTTTATTATTTGAACTTTCTAAAGTTCTTTATTTTTTGAGAATTATGCCTGTCTCTGGACTGTGTATGATGAGTTCCCTCTGGCTTTCTCTCTCTGCTCTGGCTTTTGCCATTTGACTGGGATTTACAATGTCTTCCTTGTTCACAGTTTTTATGCAGTTGTGCTCCTTCTCTGCCAATCATATTCCTCTTGAGGCAGAGCTCTTCTCCTGTGATGGATTAGCTTTGGGAGGTGTTGAGCATGTGTGAGATGTAACTGTCCCTTACTTCTATACACCTCATACTTGAAGTGAGATCTATACTGAATAAGGTGTCTAGATTTCATATGAGGTACTTTGGTATTAGTGTCCCTAT